AGAGGTTAGTTTTGTAGAACACCAAGTATCCATTTCAAAGTTCCTTTTCTTGAAAGGTGAGAACTAGACCAGAGACAGAACAATGGGAAATAACTGGAAATAAATAGCTAATATCCTGTTATTTCCAGTTATTTCTTTTGTACAAGGATTAAAGCAGGAGGAACTTTTTTTTATCACACCAATGCATATCAACTGTTCGAGAAATTTATCATTTACTTTTCTAATCAAGATATATCATAACATTTCATTTCTCCTTGGTGATGTAGAATTCTACTTTGAGTGATTTCATTTTAGTACAGGAGCCTAGCTCCAGATACTGACCTCCTGTAATTTTTATTCAGCATATGAATGCTATGCTCAATAATACAAGAAAATCATCTAGCACCAATCTTTAGAGCAATTAGCTTACCAAAGTTACACAACTAAGAAATCTGGATCAAAAGTTACTGCAGTAGCACTTATCTTTTTGTAAATTTAAAAAACAAATGATTTAAATTGTTCTTATAACGGTGCTGTGCAGAGGGGTCGCAGTTACATAAGTCCGGTAATGACTGCATTTCTTTTTGGACAGTGTCATACCTTCCCTCAGTCTCTCCCAGTTATTCCCTCCCATTCTCACCCACAAACGTTATAGTTCGTTTTCAGTATAGTGTCTAGTGAGTAACCACTGCTGCATTTGTTCACACTTTGTCTAGCCATTTCTGTGCCCTCCTTTATCACTTAGTCTCTTAAGCATATACACACAAGAAAAGCAGGAAAGCATATTTCTGTACTAATTGGTCACAATTTTTAGAGAAGAGATTTTCAAGTTTATAAAGAGCAACATAATAATTGATAGAGCCATTTGGAGAGGTAACAGGGAAGTGATGAACGTACTTGTAGAAGGAAAGTTCACTGTTGAACAGATGGAAAGTGTTCTCTCAAATGAGTGATGAAGTCTGTGAAGTGAGATGGAGAGTCCATTGAGTGAAGTGGGTGAAGTTTCAGGACAAATATCAAAGGTTGGGACATCTCTACAGTAAGTGATAGAGGAAACTACACAAAGGGATATAGAGAGATTGATGGCCAGTACTTATAGCTCAATTGAGTTTGGCGCCATGTGGCTGTAGGAACACTGTGTGTAGAGTTTCTTCTTTATTTTGTGATCTATGGGAGGATTAAAAAGACATGTTTTGGTTTGAGATTTATAAGGTGTGAGTGAAGGAAGAAGAAATATTGGAAAGGAATTGTGTGTATGTTTATACTAGTAGAGTAGAGTTTTCTGTATATGAGTTGCCCTCTATTTGGACCTCTTAATTAAAATTCAATTCTGAAGTCTAAGATGAATGTTATTTCAGAAATAAAATGTGGTGACCCACAATGAAGAAATGCCATAGGTATGATTATAACATTTAAACTTTGCTTCAAGATGAAGCACAATTGAACCCTGTGCAATTGCCATGATTTGGACATTCATTAGCTGCGTGGTCCTGGAAGTCACAAGTAGCCTTTTCAGGGATGGCAAATAAAAAAATCTCTCACTTTCTCACCCTTGTCATGCTTCATAAGGCCTGAGAAATCATTTTGTATATTACAGAACAGACACATATACTGTTTGTCAGCTACCTGACCTATCTGCCTGTAGTGGTAATCTAATATGGCTTGTGAGTGTTGTTGTAACTATCTAAATGGTCCTTGGCAGAAAGATGGGTCCCTAATAATATCTATATAGTTACTTTGCAAGATATGGATAGCTCTTAAAGAATTCACAGCCTGTGTCCTTTCCACATTCAAAATTAAATTAGAATATTCTTATTTTAACAATAAGCTGGCCACGCTGGATGCTAATGGCTCATACCTGTAATCTTACTCCTTAAGTCTAAGATCTGAGGATCACAGCTCAAAGCCAGTCAGTCAGTCTGGGCAGTCAAGTTTGTGTGACTCTTTTTTTGGTACATTTTTTATCAAAAAAATGCTGTACAGAGGGGTTTTAGTTACATGAGCAAGGTAATGAGTGCATTTCCTATTGAGCATTGTTGCCTCCTCCTTTGTTTCTCCCCTACCAATCCCTTCCCTCCCACCTCCACAACCACCTCCCCCCTAGGTTGTAAAGTTCATTTTCAACATAGTCTCATACATCTCATTTTTACAATGGGTCAACCTGTATCCTTATTTAAGTATTTTGTTTTTTCCCTTCCCCTACTTGAATTAGAGAAGTGCATATACAGGATGCAGGGCATCGACATCAAATACAGTGAAAACGGATTTTTGAGACTCTTATCTCCAGTTCACCACCAAAAGATAGAAGTAGAACTGTGGCTCAAGGGGTAGAGCAATGATCTTGAACAAAAAAAATAATCTCAAGCCCTGACTTCAAGCCCATGATCAGCATACACAAACATGCACACATCTGGCCATAATTTTTTTCCTAAAGTAACTATGATATGCATATCTATATGTGTATATCTATCTATCTATCTATCTATATGTGTATATCTATCTATCTGTCTGTCTGTCTATCTATCTATCTATCTAGCTATCTATCTATCTATCTATCTATCTATGTGTTATATATACACAGATACAAGCAGGCACTGCAGGGGAATACCCTAGGTTCTTGTGTTTGTTCTAAGGGTATGTTGTCATTTAGTGCACTTTTAGCCAAAAGGAAGTCAAATTTTCTGAGGCAACTATATGAATAAAATATTCACATAAAATTTAGTGTATTGCAATCCTGCTATCCTTTACATGTTACCAAATTACGTGTAAAGTCATCCCCAATTTTATCCAGTGAAATAGAGGGTGACATTATTATTGAGGAATTATCTATATTCCTAATCATCTGTTTGAGAACCATCCCCCAGTATTCAGCAGCTGCTTTTGAAAGCAAGAATCATCACAACTGAAATAGTAGTTCTGAAGATGGGCAGTGAGACACGTCCCCCTGTGGTCTCATGACACTGTGAAGGGGATGGAGTAGTGGATTTCCACACAGGGCAATCGACAACAACACAGATTCACAACCAATGATCATGAGAATGTCTCCCTCCACAGTGTCTTGTGTCTAGAAACTGACCTAATTAAGCACTATCTATCCTGAGAATTTTCTAGTAAGTTTATGAAAACTGGAGATAAGTTAGATGAATGTTTTGATTTCTCAATGAATGGAAAGTTATGCTTATCTTCTAGATAGTCTAGTAAATGTGTGGTAACATTGTGTTTGACAAAAGAAGACACATACTTTCAAATATACTTTGTTAAAAAATGTTCCCATGTGAGTGGCTTGAAGAACAGTATTGACTTACTTCCGTGAAGATTTGATACAGACCTATAATTTATAAAACATGCAATATGAATTACATTGATACCCAGTAAAATAAAGCACTTTCTATGTTTTTAACTAGCTAGATGAACTTTATCTTTTACCAACTGTTAATGGACAGCCAGAGGGATGTTTCTTTAGTTGGACAGATGAGGTGTGTTGAGCAGCCCAATGACTGGATTCCCCCTCAAGATGTAAACTTTGCCCTTCATGACTTCATGACAGACATTCTCCTGAAGATGAGTGAGAATCTTGTAGGTTACAATAGAACAGAATAAAGATGCTCTTGTACCCAGAAATCCTTCTGTGTTTGTAATGTTTTTTTTTTCCTGTAGTGCAATGTTTATTTGTCTTTTCCTCCCTTCCACATTGCTCCTTCTTTCCTTCTCTCCCTCTATGTCTCTCTCCATTCCAGTGTGCTAGTCATTGTGCCAGGCCTGGGAAATGTAGCAAACAAGTCACAGTCCCTACCCTCATCAAGACACAATCTAGTAGGGGGGGCAGGAAGGTTGTAAACAGAGGGGATCATTACCAGGGAGAAAGGCGACTGTTCTTTGCAACAAGGTGAAAGTAACAGTTGATCAGAGGTCTGACGAAGAGAATGGAATTAGCTTCTCTTGTTGTGCTGTTGGGTTATTTTGTGCATATTAGAAAAACTCACCTACAAGCTTGGTGGGGGTAGAGGGACGGCTCAGTGTTAGAATGCCTGCTACCATGAGCTGAGCCCTGGGTTAAGCCCCCTTTCTGAAGATCTCTCTGTAGGTTTCTCAAATATAGAAAACATTCTTTTTTTATAAACCACCAATTCCAGGGACCCATGGCTTGGTGAACAATGGGTACCTTTTGGCAAAGGAAAAAAAGTAGATACTGCCCGATGTATAGGCAGTTTTGTGACGGAAGGATTTTTTGGCCTCCACGTATCCTCCTGTTGGTCATTAATGTTCAGGCTCCCCCTGTTTAGTGCCAGGGTGCCTCCTGAAGGTGTGCAGTGGAATTCCAAGGCAGACAGGACAACAAGGTCAAAGACCCTAGGCAGGACTGTGTTCAAGAAACACAAGGAACTCCAATGGAGCCAAGTCAGAGAACAAGATCAAAGTAAGAAACTAACTCAGACTTTGGGCTTAACTGATACCGATTAAAGTTGTAATAATTCATAACCTTAGAGAATTTTTAGAAAGCTTCATAGGTGCTTGCTGCAACATCCCATCATAAGAAGCTCAAAGAAGTAGCTTAGCTAAGTAATACAATGAGCAAATACAAAGGCTTAGAATGGAACTGAACTCTTCTGTTTTCAGCCCCTTTCATGATTCTGCTCATTATTAATCACTTTTTAACAGTTAACCTTCTTTGTTAATATCGTCAGTTCCCTTACCAAATTCTATTCTTGCAAAAATAGACCTTTTTGAACTCTGTGCTGTGATTTGAAGCATCTTATTGTTCTCTTTTCCTATAGTTAACTTTAATAAATTGAAACAATTCTCTCTTGTAACTTAGATGTTTTTCATAAAATCACAGCTATTTTCTCATTTTAATTGGTCTTTAAAATATTACCTCTTTATATCACAACACATCTTGGAAATGTGGTGTTTTTATTAATCCTACTGTGTAATTGTTAGGAAGTTAATTTTTTTAAATGCTCTTCTTTGGTGGAAAGAATATTCCATGTATTAATTCATGTTCTCTCATGAATGTGTTCTAGCTGGAGATGGAGAAACTTCAGCTCCAAGCTCTTGAGCAAGAGCACAAGAAACTGGCCGAACGTTTGGAGGAGGAGCGGGGCAAGAATAAGCACGTGGTGCTGATGCTTGTAAAGGAGTGCAAGCAGCTCTCAGGCAAAGTCATAGAGGAGGCCCAGAGGCTGGAAGAAGTAATGGCCAAACTGGAGGAGGAAAAGAAGAGGACCAATGAATTAGAAGAGGAGCTCTCCGCTGAGAAACGGAGAAGCACAGAAATGGAGGCTCAGATGGAAAAACAACTCTCCGAGTTTGATACTGAACGCGAACAGCTTCGTGCCAAGCTGAGTCGAGAAGAAGCGCATACCACTGACCTCAAAGAGGAGATAGACAAGATGAAGAAAATGATCGAACAACTGAAAAGGGGAAATGACAGCAAACCAAGCCTTTCTCTCCCAAGGAAGACAAAAGATAGACGATTGGTTTCCATATCTGTGGGGACAGAAGGACCTGTGGCAAAGTCTGTCGCTTGCCAGACAGAGCTAGTGACAGAAAGCACAGATCATGGAAGGAAGCTGCCGTTGACTGTACCTGTAAAGCCTTCCACAGGAAGCCCCCTAGTTTCTGCAAACGCAAAAGGGAATGTGTGCCCCAATCTCCCACTGGTCAGACCAGGTATTGACAGGCAGGCTTCCCATGGTGACTTGATTGGCTCCTCCCTGCCCACCCTCCCTACTCCAAGTGCAAGCCGAATTGAGGAAAATGGACCAAGCACAGGTTCAATGCCCGATCCAACAAGTAGCACATGCCCAGTTCCCGGTAATGCTGCCCCTCCCACCACTCCAACACCGGCCATAGCTCCCCAGAACTACCCCCAAGCTCCGCCTATGCACAGTTTACATTCACCGTGTGCCAATGTGTCTTTGCATCCAGGTCTCAACCCACGAATCCAAGCAGCTAGGTTTAGATTTCAGGGCAATGCCAATGACCCAGACCAAAATGGAAATACTACCCAAAGTCCTCCACCAAGAGATGTCTCACCTACAAGTCGTGATAGCCTAGTGGCCAAACAACTAGCAAGGAATACTGTGACTCAAGCACTGTCAAGATTTACAAGCCCTCAACCGGGTGCTTCTCCCAGGCCTGGAGTATCTCCCACGGGGGACAGTGGTACCTACAATCCAGTCAGTCGGACCAGTTTAAAGACTCCTGGTGTAGCACGAGTTGATAGAGGAAATCCTCCTCCCATCCCACCAAAAAAGCCAGGGCTCTCCCAAACTCCTTCTCCACCGCACCCCCAACTCAAGGTTATTATGGATAGCAGCAGGGCTGCAAACACAGGGGCCAAAGTGGATAACAAAGCTGTGGCTTCACCTCCTTCCACATTGCCACAAGGGAACAGGGTAATAAGTGAGGAGAATCTCCCTAAATCATCCTCCCCTCAGCTGCCACCAAAACCATCCATAGATTTAACTGTGGCACCTGCAGGCTGTGCCGTTTCAGCCCTGGCCACGTCTCAGGTGGGTGCCTGGCCTGCTGAAATCCCTGGACTGAACCAACCCGCATGTTCCGACAACTCCCTTGTCATTCCCAACACCATTGCCTTTTGCTCTTCCATAAGACCTGTTAGTGCCTCATCCCGTAGGCCAGGTGCCTCAGGCAGCCTCCTGGTAACAGCATCAGGTAAAGGGATTGAAATCCTATACACTTTTCTTTTCTTTTTGTTTTGTTTTTTAGAGAATGTGACCTCTCCTCACTTGTCTTAATTTCTTTCACGTTGCCTTGAAAAGTTATTTTTTTTCTTTCGATATCTTTCCCTTTTTTCCCCCATGATTTTCTTTAAAGACTCCAGGGTATGGTGATTCATCTTGCTTTATGAATTGTGGTTTCGTTATGCTAAGTGCTTTCTCCTCTTAAAATAACCTGAGAATAGTGGTTTGAAGTACAGGAAGACCACAAATTTAGAGAGATGAAAGCATTTCCCTGGAAGGAAAACATCTCTTCTCATTAAATATTTATTTTACAAGGCCTTAGTATTAAGCGATCATTGTGCAGCAGTTGGTGTTTAGTTCTGTGTCTTCCGTAATGACATCAGAAAAATCTTTTTTAAGTTATTGTTAACATACTATATACCGTCAGCTTGATTAGGTTTGCTCTGTGATTGGTATATTCTGAGTTTTAATACCAGTTTTATATTAAGATTTGTTTTTTAACCTCCAAAATGTTTATGGATCTCTGTTCTAAGGCATTTCAAAAAGCCATTTACACTATTTTGAGCTAAGGTTTTCTGGTGCTTGACACAAATAGACACTATAGCACATGGGTATATAGGTATATTAGAGAAGATGTAGTTTATGAAGTTACTAAATCTTGGATAAAGATGAACTAGGTTTTCCCTTTAGTTATGTGTTGCTAGAGGAAACATAACTTTTTATTGATATGATTGGATTGGATTTTCTTCTTTATCTCTCCCCCAGTGTTGAGGATTAAACCCAGGGCTTTTCAGCATAACTGTACAAATGTGCAATTGCTCAGCTACATCCTTAGCCCTGGTTTAATTCTTTGTTAAGCAAATGTGCTCTAACTAATGTTTTAGTGTCTAAATTCTGTTGATATATTTTGGTAAGCTTTCCTACCCTGGGGTCTTAGTGCTTAATAAATACTATTGTTTGGAAAGGAATGTTTGGAAAGGAATGTAACTTTAAATTTTAAGAGAAAGTTTGAATAGTATCATATTTCACAAGTGAAGGATAGTGGGAATTTAAAAAGCAGGTACCATCAGGTCATAATGAGATCAATGCACAAGAACTTAGATATCTAATTGTAAGGCATCCTCTTGGAATTAACCTCTTTGAGAGTCTGTATTCAATTTTGAGGGGAAAAATTGAGAACTTGAAATAGCGTGGACTTTGAAGTTATTCAGATTACTGTTCAAGTAAAGGGTTTGCCATGTAAAATTGCTTTTTTTATTATTTTTTCATGCCTAGCATGAAAAATTTCCTTATGATGGAAATTTTTCTATGTATATAGGAACATGGCCGTAAGAGACATTCAATACTATAGTAGGTCCATGGGCCTAGCACTGAACTTGGCAGCAGAAGTGTCAGTAAGTACAGGTGATGTGAATGAATGCCTTAGGGATACTGTGTCTTATAGCATTTCTGAGATTTTGCTTTAGAATTGATGTTAGTATATTTCATCATGGCAGTTTCTAAGCTGGACCCCTATGCCATGGCTTAGAATAATAATTAGCTCTTTCTCACATATTCATACCAATTTCAGAAGAAGAGTTTTCTGCTGCCATTTAGGAAATTCAGAGCATGTACTAAAAGATTTGCAGGCTTTTGGAAAACAAATTCTAAAACTCTTTTGGGAAGTGTCAGTGGTTTGACATAAATGCACAGAATGTATAAAAGAAAACATTAAGGAAAGATTATATATATATATATATATATATATATATATATATATATATGTATAATCTATATACTACACATGGAGAGAAGAGACATGCCTGTCTGTTTTTCTATCTAAAATACAAAGTCATCTGTTGTTTGATACCTCAGGGCTCTCTGACAGACATTATATTCTTTGTCACTGTGGGCCAAGGTCCAGCTCATATACCTTTGGTTTCAACATCTGTGATTGAGGAACATGAAGTTTGGAAAGATAGAGAATTCCTAATTGGGTGCATATTTACTAAATAACCTGCCTAGGATGCAATTTAATTTTGGATAGAGGAGTCAAAATTCCTCTCAGAAAGTTTTTGGCTTGTAGCATAAAATTGGTTTGTTTTCTATTCTCTGATTTTGCAATGTAGCCAAAATATTCTCAGAACTATAAAGCTGCCTTTGGAGGAAAACGCATTTCTGGATCCCTTGTTCAGAATGTGGCTTTGTTAGGATTAAGGGGAGGCAATGGAGGACTTTAATCCTTTAGCAAGTGTTTACTGAGTACCAGTCCCTACTCAGTGGGTGGAAATGCTATTATACTTAGATATCCTTCTATAATTGTGTAATTCCAGTGTGTATGTAGGACAGCCTAAACTTTCTAAATGCGTCACAAGATTTTAATTCTGCATTCCATTTACATTGCTCCATTTTTTCTTCATTTCTTGGGATCGAACTCAGTGCCTTTAGGCATGCTTAGGAGAGCACTCTACTACTGAGCTATACTTTCAGCTCAATTGCTGTGGGAAACACCAGAGCTCCTTGCATCCTGCTTCTTAACCTGGCTGTGCCTGGGTGAGCTTGTGCCTTTCCAGATCTTTGCCCCTGGAGGGCATTAGCCTTCTAAGCATCCACCTAGGACATTGTAGCCGCTCATAGTAGGTCTCAGGGACAGAGAATACTTGCCAGATACCTGGCAGATGTTTGTTCTCATTTCTATGATTGAAAGAATAAGCACTGAACTGAGACAGAGGTCAGGATCAATCTATTTCTTCACAATTGTAGGTATCAGCTGGATAGCAAATTCTCTTTAAGCTATTAGCCTTGCCATCTAGCAATAAAAACTTTAAACCAAAACCCAAGAAGATTTCCAGACCAAACTATGTCTTCTTAAACTTGTCTGATGGAGTGTCAAACAATACAAATACTAGGTCACATGACTGTCCAAACTCTAAAATCTTGCGTATCCATGTCAGTTTGCATATATGACAGTTACAGCTAAGTTAAGACTTGAAAGAAAAATGGAATGATACAGGTTCCCATTTTAATGGATTACATTATAAACTATGCTGACTCTCTTGAGAACTTCTATAGGGAAATGTGACATTTTTGAATGATCTTTTAATTTTTGTTCCTTTCAAGCTTGTTAAATGAAATTTCTGTTGTTAAGTGATCAGAAGGAAAAAAAAAATAGAAATCTAGGCAACTGAGTTTCCATACCCTTGGAGATTTTTTTTTCCTGTTTCCCTTTTTATGTTATTATTTATTTTACACATTTTATTCAATTTGGTTTAGACTTTTTCCTTATTTAGACATCTTAAAAAATCTATTTCACATATGATTGGCTTGAAGGCTAAATTGGAAAACAAGAATGATCTCGGCTTTGACATTAACCTCCTCCTTCTCTGAAGCTGATGCCAGAAGCTGTCCTTTCCTTCCCTGTTCCATGGCCTGCTCTCTCTGTCCCCTTTCTAGCATGTCATGCAAGATGCTCACCTTTACTAACATTTGCATATGATACTGCGAAGCTGAATGACTTTCTAACATCATTAGAGTAGCATATAGCTCTCATTTGTCATTATTAACCAGTTAACGAAATATTACCATGTTCATCATTGTTGAGAACTTCAGATGAATACAGTAGGGTCGTGGTAAAATTTTATTTTTTCCATCTTTATAGCAGCATCTATTAAATTTGTGCTAGGGAAAGTTAGAAATAATAGTGAAAATAGCATTTATGGGAAACTTAAGAATATAAGGTTTTATATAGCATTTTTCCTTTGTGAACATCTAAAAAAAATCTGCTGTCCTCTAAGAAAATAGAAAACACTGATGTCATTATCTGTAATTTTGTAGATAGAAAGAGAACAATAAAATTCTTGAGTGGTCTGAATGAGAAAATATATGAATAAAGTATTTTCTCTTTCAGATAACTTAATATTAAAATAAATTTTCTTGGAAAAAATGTATTCACAATTGAATAAATTCACATAAAGCGGCTGAAAATATATTTATCTTGAAGTTGTTTTCCCTAAAACTAAATGTGATGGTTTAAAAAAAGGAAAAATGAAAACAAACCCCCAAAGAATGGAGAACTGTTGAATATGTACATGTTGGTATTCATAAGAGAATTGAATAAGGAAGACCCCTTGGGTGTGACTTAGAGGGAGGGATAATGAGAGGAAGAGTGTTTGAGAGACTGAGCGCATGAGCCAGATTCCCTCCTGTTCTGTGGTCGATGACTATGCCCTGCCTTCATATTGCCTGTGTCTGCTTTACAGTCAAGGTTTCATACCTTATGTTTATAATTTTTCTGTTTATCATTCACTTCTAATAAGTACTGATTTAATTTTTGTGGGCCTGTTTTTTGTTTGTTTGTTTTTAAGAAAATACAAAAGGTAAAATGTACCAGAGAGGAGCCTTCTTGTAAGTATGAAGTAAAAATAACTACTTTTGTAAGGAGACCTAATGAATACCAAATGGGAAATAGAAAACTTAGATAAATATTGAATTTTATGAGCATGTTAAATTTGTCTGTCACTTAAGTCCTAGTAGAGTAAAACCAATAAATTATTCATGAACCCAAATAGTTGATTATGATCATTATCATGTGCAGCTTTAATAAGCAATAGTCTTATTTTTAGAAATAGCTCTGTTTGTCCTATTTTTATAAAGAATTAAAAAATACGGAGATTTCTTGGATATGTACCTTTCAAAATATTTGTATAATGAACTAAGGTTCATAAATTCAGTTTAATACTTGTATAATGAACTAAGGTTCATAAATTCAGTTTAATACTAACAATTGAATATTGCATACATGTCAGTAAAACTCGCATACTTAGAATATTATCCTGAATATCAGTGCTCAAGGAATGGAAATAATCCATTTTGCCTTCCTAAAGAGAATGTTAACACCTCTGTAACAGGTCTGCCATGGTTGACATTATGTAGAAGTATTGAAGCTCTACATGGAGAAAACTAGAATGATATATTTTAAATTTTCACTATACTTATAACCTCAAGAACAAAATGATCAGTGTATCCTATTAAATAAACATTTTTACTTTACTGTTTTTACAGCCTTTTGATCAAGGAAGAATTCAGAAAATTTTCCATGCTATATGCAGCCGACTTCACACATTTAACCGATTCTCTTCTAAAAGCTGCTAAATCCTGATGAGAAATATCTAACATTGATAACTCTTTATGATTTTTGTTAAAACTATGTGGTAGAGTGTCCTGTTTTGTTGATTGATTAAAACTTTGCTTGAACTGTTGGGAAGATGACAAGATGAAGGTCTTCCAAATTCTTACTGAATATTTATACTGTCATAGTCTAAACCAAATTATATATATATATATATATATATATATATATATATATATGTATATGTATTTCCTTTTTCTTTTAATATTGAATAGTAGTACCATCATTTTTTTCCTAAGTGAGAATTCAAGGAGTATAATTAGACTCCTTGATAAGAGGTTGGTTCATCTCACTGGTTTGGTTAAAACTTAAAATCAACTTTGCTTGGAAACATTATTGAAAAAGGAATATCTCTATCTTACTATGATATCTACTACATTATACCTAGCACATATTTTTTTTTCAAATTGATATAGAAGCTTAGAAGACTTCTATGTAATTTTAAAATACAACTTGTTTGGAAATGCTAAAAAGTTATTTAAACTTTCAAAATAGGACAGCCATCTTAGTTTTTTTTTAAACCAATCACTAGTTTAACACTTATCTGTGCCAGACTGACAACTAAAAATAACATGTCACCATTGTGTTAATTTGATTAGCAGCAGATACTGAAATAACAGTACAGAGTTAGTACTAAGAAAATATTAACAGATTGGTATCCTTTAGGGGGATGTATAGTTCACATGTTAGTGTATGTGAGGCTCAAAAAGGAATGATAATAGTATCTCTTACCTTTGTTCCTATTTCTAATGAGGGTTACTTTAACCTACAGGCTGGTCACCCTCCCTAACCCCTTTGCTAATGAGTGGTGGTCCTGCCCCCCTGGCTGGCAGGCCCACCCTTCTTCAGCAAGCTGCTGCCCAGGGAAATGTCACTTTATTATCAATGCTGCTTAATGAAGAAGGACTGGACATTAATTACTCCTGTGAAGATGGCCATTCTGCCTTGTATTCTGCTGCTAAGAATGGACATACAGGTAAATCAAATGTCTGAAATCCTCACCGCATACTTGCAAACAAGTTGAAGATCAAAAGCGCTTGTAACCTGAGCAAAATGTACATTTGGGCTTTACTTTTCTCTTACAAGATGCATGGATAACTCTTTTCAAATCAAGGTTTTGTACAACTTTAGAGTGTGTGAATTGTGCAGTTCCTTAATGCAAAATTTTTTACTGCAGCTGGCTAAAGAGATCTGTGTTTTATGCCCAATGGAATGTATTGTAATATAATGTAATGTAGAAAATTTGAGGCCTAGTAATTGCAAAGTGTATTTTAGAATAAAGCTGTCCATCTGTGACTACTTTGGTCTGGACAAAATAGTCTCAATTTGTCTATTAGAAATACACGATGTGGGGAAAATAGCATCAGTGCGTCAGTGAATTCCTCAGTGAGGGAAATTTGGTAGTTAGGGAGTGTCATCAGTCTGAAATTGTTCTGTGGTTGCAACAATTCATAGTCGTTTGGAATGCTTTTCAGAAAACTGGGAAGTTATATAATTATAAATGACATATCCATGAAGACTAGGAATTACTCTTGTTTTTTAAAGTACAAATCCTATAGTTAAATATACTAAAACATATGCTAATGCAGACAATAACATAGTTTGACTCCTAGTACAAAATCAATAGCACTGCATATGCAACCCATATAAATGTCAATTGGTTCAGATAAATGCAAGATTCTGGTGAGCAGAGATAGCTTAGTTGTTTAGAAGTAACTTTGGAATTCTTCAAAAGCACTGGGAGATTTTTTTTTCCAATGGTAGAGAAGTAATGTAGATAATATAAAAGGGGTCTAACATCACTTTTTGAGTTTCCTTGACTTCACTATCCAAGTGTAAGATGATCATCATACTGAAGTATTTTAGTGTTAAACCAGTATCACTAAGTAAGAATTTAACTATCTAAATACGAAGAATGGTATTTTTATTTGGTAAATGGATTTGGTTCTCTATTCCCCAGACAGGATTTCTGGGATTAGCTGGTAGAAAAATCTGGTAAAATGTTTTCTGGCCCATGACATTCCTTTTACTCACCAGCAACTCTAAAAATACTAAAAAAAAATATTATGTCTGAGTTGGTGAGTTTGGGAGAATCATAATCTTTGGGGGTGGGGGGTGGGGAGAGAATCTGCGGAATATTCTTTGGAGTCCCACATCTCCCAGGATAGATTTGTTAGGTTCAGAGCAGAAGTCCTTGGGGTTTAAAACCCATGTGGCAGCTTGCAGTGAACTTGGTTCATCGTAACACTAACTTGGAAAACCATAATAGCTTTCTATTAAAACTCCATAGACTGTGTGAGATTGCTGCTGAATGTTGAAGCCCAAGTTGATGCTGCTGATAAAAATGGCTTCACACCCTTGTGTGCTGCAGCTGCTCAGGGACATTTTGAGTAAGTGATACTTTTACTTCGTTTCTTTTCCTGTGAAAATAATCTTTATTTTAGTTCTGCATACATTCTAGCTTCAGCTAAGTGTGTAAACTAGTGCTTAAATAATTTCACAAAATTTCATTTTGGGGGATTTAAAGAAAAAGTAGGAGCTGGGTGCTGATGGTTTCTGCCTGTAATCCTAGCTACTCAGGAGGTTAAGATTTGAGGATCACAGTTCAAAGCCAGCCCAGGTAAGAAGGTCCCTGATACTCTCATCTCCAGTTGACCAAGAAAAGTCAGAGGTAGAATCATGGCTCAAGTGGCAGAGTACCAGCCTTCAGCAAAAAAAAAAAAAAAAATGCTGAAAGAGAGTGCCTAGGTCCTGAGTTCAAGCTCTAGTACTGATACAAAAGAAAGGGAAGGGAAGGGAGGAAGAAGAGGGAGAGAAAGGGAAGGGAAGAAGGAACGCGGTAGCTTAAATATACTCTTTTAAAAGTAATTGAGTAGTAATAAAGGGAAGTCAAGAGGAAGACACTGTCCATACTAAATACCAATTAATTTGCTTTTCACAGGTCCTCTATAGCATCTATAGCACATCAGCATGTAGGTAGTGAAAAGGGCTGTCGAGGTACACCTTGTTCACTGTTTTCTGTTACAGAAAGCTTTTATTTAAAAAAAGTTTTGATGATATTACAATAAAACCATTAGAAATGATTATTTCTAATAAACTTAAGTCTGCTGGCAGTTGATTGAGCATTAAGTCCCAAGCACCTTGTTTCACCATTTAAAAAAATATTGAAGTAGTTTACATACAAGTAGTTCAAGGATTAAAAACAAAATGAACCTATTTATTAAAATGCCCATAAGATTAACAGTGATTTGTGAAGGTCCTTACTAAACCATTTAGCTATACATATGACTTTTCACCATTAAAACTCTTACTTTAATAATAGATTATAACTACTTTACTTTCTCTGTTTTTGCTAAGATGACATATTTTGGAGAATGCAAGCTGCTTTAACCTTCTTATTACAAAATTCTTAAAATATATATAGATATATACGTATATATGTATATATGTATATATATTTGTTTTTTGTCAGTCTTGGGGCTTAAACTCTGGGCCTGGGTGCTGTCTCTCAGCTTTTCAGCTCAAGACAAGCACTCTACCACTTGAGCCACAGTGCTACTTCCAGTTTTCTGATGGTTAATTGGAGATGTGAGTCTCAGGGACTTTCCTGTCCAGGCTGGCTTTGAACTGTGATCTGCAGATCTCAGTCCTGAGTAGCTAGAATTACAGGTGTGAGCCACCCGTGCCCAGCTTAAAATTATATTTTAAGACCGATCAATGTTGGTAAATGTCAGTCTTATATATTAAAATGCATTATTAATGTATAACAGTCTTTTTCTGCATAACTAACATATCTCATTACTGTATTATGGTGGAGAATCATAGACACTGTTTTTGCTGTCATTTGGGATGTATAGTGCAACCTGCAAAAGGACTTTTTCAGCTGTCATCTTGTTTCCAGGCAATCTGTAGAATCACTTACTTGGAGCATGTAACAGTCACAGAAACACAAAAGAGAATGGCAAGAAGGAAGAACCCTGCAGACATCCAGGATTCAATATATAATATGTAATTTATATCATATATATTGTTTATAAATATATATATTTATTATATGTTATATATAATAAATATATAAACTATAAAATAAAACAATGAAAATCCACTTGAGTTTGTTCACCTTCAAGCTCTGGGTGTTTATCTATTTTTAAGCGCCACAGTCTTGACTTTACCTTCTTTCCTTTCCCTCCTGAGCAGTGGTGCTGTGTCTCCATAAGCCAGTCCCCATCTGGAGACAGGATTTCTCCCAAAGAAGCTCTTTTTCTCAGCCTTATTGCTGGCACATGGTGCCCTGCTGTCTACACTATTTATAATTATTTTCTCAAGTGAAAAATTACAGGATGACTCAGCAGCCTGTTTTTTTTTCAAGTTTCAAACTATTTGGAGTCACAATAATATATGTACCCAAAACAAACTAAACCATTCATCTCAAGAAGGCAAACACATCCCAAGGATTCTACTTTTATAAGCCCTTAAAAAGAGAAGTATCACAAACCAGGTTTTAGCACTTGATCAAATCTACCAATTTGAATTTTTATGCTAGTAATGTTCTCACCAAACTTTCTTAGAATTTTCAAAACATCTCTCCATGTGTAAGACTCACTAAAATGAATGTGTGGAAATAAAACCACACCTGTGATACTAGCTACTCAGGAGGCTGAGATGTGAGGACTGAGGTTCAAAGCCAGCCTCAGCAGTAAAGTCCATAGACTCTTACCTCCAGTTAACCACTAAAAGCCAGAACTGGAGCTGTGGCTCAAAATGAGCACTAGCGTTGAGCACAAAAGCTCAGGACACTACCTAGGGAACATACACAAAAGTGATGTTTGTGAAGATGCAGACTTGTTAGTATTATTGTCTATATGTAGTCTCTTGGTCACAAGGTGCTTCAGAGGTCCGTTTTTACATAATTAATCATGATCTTGTGTTCAGATGTGTAGAATTACTAATTGCATATGATGCTAACATTGATCATGCTGCTGCTGGAGGACTGACACCTCTCTACCTGGCCTGTAAACATGGAAACAAAGAATGTATTAGACTCTTGCTTGAAGCTGGTTCTGACCGAAGCGTAGAAACTAGAGTAAGTATTAGTTCTTTGTTATTTTTTCTATATCTAGTGTATATAATTTATAATATGTCTATAAACTGTTGTTAGCAAAACAAAATACAATCAGCTGTTCATATCTATAGTCCCACATGCACAGAATTAACCAACTGCATGTAGAAAAGAAATCTTTTTCAAATTTTTCAATTATCTTTAAGTAGTTAAAGAAAATAACAGAAGAGGAACCATTGAGCACAGCCATTTATGAACACGGTGCATCTTGATCAGCATCACCACCTTCAACATTCTTACCTTCTATAGATCCATTTCCCTTACTTTTCTTAATTTTGTGGTATATACAGCAAATTTATAGATTTATTCTCCTTATCATTGTTTTCTAAACAATATATATGCTGTTTATGTATAGGCCTTTATATTGTATTAGTCATTATAAGTAATCTAGATATGTTAAAGTATAGATATGGGCTAGTTATATGCAGATAGTGCTCCGTTTTATATCAGAGACTTGAGAATATGTGGCCATAAACCTTATAGGTTGAGTTCCTGAAAGTAGTATGCACAGAAAATTAGGGATAACTGTACTCATGAGGTTACTGTTGGGAATGATGGTACATGCTTTTAGTCCTTAACATCTGGGTGATAGTGGTAGAAGTATTATGAGTATCAGGCCAGACCAGGTTACACAGCCAGACTCTATTCCCTCCCGCCCCCCCCCCCCCCAAAGAAAAGGAAAGGAAGAAGGCAGAGAAAAATATATGGGCTACTTAGGTTTGCGTTGCTTTGAGGATTCTGGATTTGCAAAGGGTCTTAACTCTGTTTGATTATCCTCCTCACGAGTTGAAAGCTCTGTCCATTAGCCTAGCCATCCACTCAGCCTCTGAGCCTGAGATGATCATTCTCTTCATCAGAAAAATAAACACTGCATCCTCACTATTTTTACAATTAGGGAAAAAAGCATTTATTCTTTCGACATATAATACTCTTAAGATCCTGGATTTTCTTAACTTCTCCAACCAGAACTATTAGTTCATGATACCCATATGTAAACATTTTTCTGTTGAATCTTATTACTGGAGATTTTTTTAAGTTCTCCTTTTTAGTTTTCTGAAAAACCATAAAATAGTTTTGCATACCATATTTAATCTAAGAAAATCTATTGTATTTATATATACTTACAAGATTATACCTTATTAATGAAAAACCAGTGGAATTTATCAAACAGAATGAAAAGTAAGTAATAGCAACATAAAAATGTAAGTTAAATTTTGTATGATACAACATAGAGATCCATGCTCTCAAAACAGTTATTGATAAGCTGACCAAAATCTTTACAGAAGTGGAGATATAAACAATATAAATGATAATCGTTTTTTCTTTAAAAATTTTCTTATTATCTTCAAGTCGTTGTACAAAGGAGGTACCATATAACAAAGCAATTTAAAAGTACAGTGCATCTTGATCAGTGTTACCCCCTTTAGTAATTCATTATGTTTGTACCTCTAATGAGAAAGTACCAAAAGGGAATAAAATAATGAAAGATTTTTTTCTAGAAAGTCTATGTGGACTTTGCAATATGTTAGGAAAGGTCAAAAGCACTTACGTTCAGGGAATCTGCATAGGGCTAACACCCAGGTATTGGTGTTCACAGACCAATAATAAGCTATGAAACGTCCCTTCTACCTGGAGCCAGAAGACTGTGCTCATTGTTCAGTGTGTCTTACAAGTGGGTTTGATTGACATGAGATTTAAACTAGAGAAAAACCCACAGTATTAAGGGTCAACTTTAGCAGGTGATCAGATAACATAACCGAAACTTAAGATGAGTTCCCAATAATGTCTACTTTTGTTCTTCCACCTCATTAGTTTTTTAAAGTGCTGTATGTAGCTCACCAAAACATATTTCATGTCCTGAAATGATGCATGAAAATTATATCAAAGAGAATATAAAGGAGGAGGGAAAAGCCAAAATAACAAAAAAATTTTTTAAAACAAATGAAGATGAGGACCTGTATGTAAGCATTCCCATGTTTATATCAGAATGAGAGATAAGAAGGTTTTCCCTAGATCAGAGCTTGCCAAACTCAAGTTTGACCAACCCTCTTGGTCACCTGGTAACTCTTTTAAAGAGGCTTTTCCCCAGAGTTTCTGACCCAGTTTATCTGTGATGAGGCTTAGAATCTATACTCCTCATGGGTTTTCAGAGTGCACTGAGTCTGCTATTCTGGACAATACATGCAAACACTGTTGCTCTGGGACCTCTGTTTTTACACTATAGTGGTGTAACAGAGGCTCCAAAATAATGTACTTTAGAAAATAAACCCAGTGAAATTCTCTAAGCTTGTAATCATCAGTATTCCTCTACAATTACAGAAGTTTCAACAGAGCCCACTGACACCAGATCACTTGGCTTTGTTTTATCTGTATATCTACCTTTTTTTCCTATTTTCTAGAATTTTCTTCTAGAATGGTTAGTGTAAAATTCTCAGATTATTAGTTGGATCACTATTTGGTAAGTACAACTGATTTGTTAATAGTATTCTAATATACTACTAATAACATTATTGTCGCATATATTTTTTAAAATCTCCTTAGGCTGAAGTTCATTCATTTCCTTTCACTGGCCCCCAGCTGTGACTAAAGTTCATTGCCTTTTAACATATTAAATGGAGATTTTGGGGTTGTCATGTATAATAGATATGGGCCTGGGCAACATATTCTCACTCCAGATGGTTAACTGTTAAGTAGAAATAAAAACAAAGTGAAGCATGAGTCATAGCTGTGGGGAACATGGTAGCTGATGGAGATCAGAGAACTTAGCTCATCAGAGATAGGACTAGAATGCCTCCTTTTCCAAACTCAGTTGTTCAGGAAGATTTTAAATAATACTGTTCTCAACATTAGTGTTGTAATCATCCTTTCTCCCTTGGTCATTTTATTTTCAGGATGGCTGGACACCAGTTCATGCAGCTGTGGATACTGGTAATGTGGACAGCCTCAAGCTTCTGATGTACCATAGAGTGCCAGCTCGTGGGAATTCTTTGCATGAGGAGGAGCCCAAATTGGGTTTCACCTTGGAAGGAGGGGAAGAAAGCCCTGAAGACTCATCCAAGCCCGTGGTTCCTGCAGATCTCATCAACCATGCTGACAGAGAGGGCTGGACTGCTGCCCATATCGCTGCTTCCAAAGGTTTTAAGGTTTGTCATTTACCAGCTGGCCTTATTACATCCTTGTGACTTGATGAGTGATAGTTACTTTTTATTGATTGTGTGTATTCTTACTGAACAACTGGAGACTGAATGATACCATGCAGATGATGATAAACTACTGGCAAAAATGGACACTTCTTTCTATCTGGTAGATATGTGGTCAAGGGTACAAGAGATTTATAAAATGATATTATGTTTAGAGTTCTTTCTCAAGGAAAATGAGAATAATTTTAAACATTTTGCTTCATTTACATTTTGGAGGAAAGGACTGATAGCAACTTAATCCATAGGGTTGTTCCTTTTCACTACTCAGTTCGTAACTCAGTTACGAGTTACGGCAGGGAGGGGATTCATGCCTGTTCAGCAGAATGCTTAATCCAGACCTGATCCTCCACTGCCAAACTTGCGCAATACCTGTTTTCTCGCTAGTTCTATGTTATCTACAGGGAACTCTATATTTCACTCTAAGTATATCAATTGTACGTTTTTAAAGAAATGGGAGAATAGTAGGCCATTCACTCATACTATTACATAATTTTTGAATGTAAGACATTGTGTTTATTAACATTTACAGAAATCTTTTTGAGGGGTACTGGGGCTTGAATTCAGTACCTCATTCATATTCTTGCTCAATGTTTTTGCTCACATATGGTACTCTACTTCTGGAACTATGCCTCCACTTCCGACTCTTTTATTGGTTATTTGGAAATGGAAATCTCTGATATGTCTGTGGGGCTTCAAAACTAGGATCCTTAGATCTTAGCCTCCTGAGAAGCTAAGATTATGTCATGAGTCTTGGGTACCCTACCAGAAATAAGTTTTGCCATTAGATAGATCTGAAACCAGAAAAAAAAGTTACAGGTTACAAGTATAGGAAAAAAGGGAACAAAACTTGGATAAAGGTAATAGACATGGCATTGGACCAGTGTAACAGTGCAATGATTGTGTAAAACTGAAAGACATTACACATACTTCAAAGAGCATAGTTGCAGGAATGGTTAATGGTTCATTCTGGAGGGGATGGAAATTATTCCAGTGATTTTGCAGATCACTGGAGAGGAAATCAATTCAGGTGAGGGAGAAGTAAAAATGGAGACACAGACTTGGTGACAGCTCCAACTGAGCTAATAAAGAGTCGTGGCAAATGAAACTAGTATGGGTTTCTGAATATAGGCATGGGGGCCTTCAGTAACAATTTAATAGTTTGATTTCAACTTACTAATGAAAGCACAGCCAGTGAAAGCAGGGTAATATAACTGGCCTACAGTTTAAAGTAATTAATTTAACAACAGCATTTGGAAGATTAGAGAGTATGAATACATTGGTGGAAGAGAAAGAATAAAGGCTAGAAAGTGATAGCAAAAAAAGTCAGTGGAAATCATAAAGGGAAATAGCAGACTAGACAAGTCCAAAGAGTAATTGCAGAATAAATATGGGAAATGAAGTTAGTGAATGAGCACATATTAGTGATATTCCAGGAAAGAGAAAAAAAATCACTGTGACCAGGGAGATGGACTGTGGTTTTAGATATATTGAGGTTAATGCTGTGATTTGTTCAATCTAGATGGAAACACCTGAAGATGTATTGGGGCTCATGATTGAGTAACAACTTCCTGTAATTATGGTCTACTTTGGATCTTTTCAGTTTTTATTTCCATTTTTAAAAAGTGAAAAAATAGCATGATTTCAACTTAATGCTTGTAAGCAGGCTCTCCCCTCCTACTTTACTTCTTAGAAAGTATACAAAATTCTCAAAAATATGTATTTGTGTATGTATATATATACATATATATACACACACAAACATCAACAGATATATACACACACACACATATATATTTAAATGGAATACAGTGACATTTAACATAAAAATTATTAGGAGACAAAATGGAAACCATGAACAGTTTAAATTTGAAATGCACAGTTAATATAGGACTGTGAATCTCACTGATGGGGAGATGCATGTAGGGGGTAGTTTGTAAGCCACTGATAAGGAAATCTCTGTAGTATGAGATATTAATGACAGGAATGGATTGTTGAGGAACTCAATCTAGAGACAAAGAAACAACAAAAAAATCATCAATGTCCCTAGTTCTGTGCTCTGAAGTTACTGTTCAGTAGGAAAAAAGTGGGTTTCTGTTGCGCTTTTTCATTATGAACTTTCTTTTCGTTTTGATTATCAAAATGAAGGTTCTCTGTGTTCTGTCATCCGATCTTTGACAAGTCAAGTTCCTGCAACAGAACTAAGTTAAGGACATCATCTACATTTGAACATTTCTTTTATTATACAAAATTCCTATACCCAGAGCTCTTTCATTATTTAGTTTTTTAATTTTTGAGGTTTTCATCTATGATAGGTAGCACTTCTAGTTTATCTTCCAAACTGGTTATTTCCTATCAACATACTCTTTCTTAGTGTCTTATCTCTGGCTTGTCGCAGACATGGAATATTGAATACAAACTTCTTTTTTCCTCTGTTGCCAGAATACTCTCCCTTCCTTACTTCCCTTCTGACTACATTCTAACAAGTGTTGAGCTCCAATCCTAGCAGTTTCCTCCTATTTTTAAAGTGTTCCTCCTGTTTTTCAGATTTAACTGCGGTTCTTTTTTTTTTTTTTTTTTTTGCCATAACCAGTCTGAAACAGATAGCTTCACACTGACTTTCCATCTGTCTTTTAGACATGTGTCCCCAGAATTCTAGAGATCATCATTAGCAGGCCTCCCGCTGTCCTCTTGTCAGAATGTATCTGTCCTTTTGCTACCCTTAAGTCATTCTTTCATTGTGCTAAGATTCTAGTCTGACTGATGCACTGTTAGTTTTTAGCCCTTTGAAAATCTGTCATCTTTTTCTGTCACTTTTTTACAACTACTCCACTTCCCCTGGAGGCCTAGAATACAATAAATATGTTCAGAAATCAATAGAGGCTCTAAAATGTGGATTCCTTCTTCCTAGTTCATGGCTACAAAAAGAACCAAGAAAATGGGAGTCACTGAAGTTTTTCCTTGGCACAGAATTGTGTAACTGTTTGCCTAGTGGTCCAGTGCTGCCTATACTATTATTCCAGTATAATTATTCAGTGTCCTCTACATATTACTCTTAAAAGCATCTCAGTTTGGACAGTTAAATGGTAGACCTATTGATGATCATATTCACTTTTGATCCCATCTGACAGTTTTCACCTGGGTGTATACTTGGGCTCCGATGTATAAGCCCTTTGGCCAGTCTGCTATACCTCTTGATTTTCCTCTTTCAATCTCATAACATCACTATACATATACATTTGTGTTTAGTTGTTCCTTCTTCCTAAGTTAATGAATTCGAAGGATCAACATGACTAATTTTTTTGCCTTCTGTGTGTGTGTGTGTGTGTGCGTGTGTGCGCGCGTGTGCCGGTTGTGGGGATGGAACTCTGGGCCTGGGCACTGTCCCTCAGCTCTTCAGCTCAAGACTAGCACTCTACCACTTGAGCCACAGTGCCACTTCTAGTTTCCTGGTGGTTTATTGGAGATAAGAGTCTCATGGACTTTCCTGCCTGGGCTGGCTTTGAACTGAGATTCTCAGATCTCAGCCTCCTAAGTAGCTAGGATTATAGGTGTGAGCCACTGGCACTTGGCTAATTTTTTGCCTTCTTAAGTGAACGCTGCACATGCTGTCCCCTGCATCAAATCACAGCACTGCCTTGGACATCCTCACTTTATGCCATCTGGATGCATCTGGGTCCTGCCACCATCTGCCCATCTTCAGTCTCCTGAAGATGTCGTGAAAGTGCCTTTCTAATAAGTGAGTGTGGTGCTATAACTTACCCACCTTCCATCTTCCTAACACTCTTTTCACTCTCAGGCTAAGGCATAGACCCTTATGATAACCCAACCACTACGGGTGCCTCAGTCTACCTCCACTGATGTACGTGCTCTCTTCACCTTTGCTAGCATGTTGAACGCTGAATTGGGCATGAGTGGCCCCTGTGCAGATGCCCTGTGCTCTCTCCCCTCTCCCTGGCTTTGTATCTGCTGTTTTTATTACCATAAATAGTCTCTCCCTCTGTCCCAACTCTTCTGTGCCTGGAAAGCATCTCAGCTGCAACCTTGGTCACAGGTTAGGTGTTCATGTCACCGCACTTTGCTTAGAGAGCTTGTATGTGATTGTGATTTTTTTATGTGCTTCTTCCATCTTGTGTATCCTGCTCCCCACAGTCTCTAGTCCACTGTTTGCACAGTGCATAAATTATACCATTGCAGTTCCTTCCTAGTTAGTCTCCTTCCCATTTCTCTCTTCCTTTCTATGTGCACCGATGGGCTTTTAGAGCAGAGCCAATCAAGGTACTTTCTTATTCAGATATCTCCTCGGGCCTGCAGAAGAGCTCCAACTGCTGTACCTCCCACCTAATTCCAGCCCACTTCATCTTCGGCCACTCAGCCTTTATCTGCTGTCTGGCTTCTGTCATTAGATCTTGTCTTAATGGCTGTAAAGCAGCAGTTACACTCTCACCCCAGCATTGTTCTCAGCACTTAGCTGAGCTTTATCTCTGCAATTACAAACAGATTTTACTTTTTTGTCTCTGTCCAGTTTCAGGCTCTTGGCTTGGTTCCTGCTTCACTTTGATTTTCTTTCTAGATCTTTGTACTTCATGTTTCTACTTAATCACCTTGACTCCGGCACTAAGGCTGCTTATCCCTCAATTTCTCTTTTGCCCTTTCTCTAAATAATAAAGCCATATATCTCTTCTCTGGACCCACGGTTTGCCAACAGAAAGACTATTCCACAGCTATTCTACAGTTACTGGCCATGAACCTAAGTTCTGGAAAATGGCATGTGGTGAAAAATGAAGCTATTTCTTAAGTCTTTATTTATACCCTAAGTAAACTTATCCATTTCGATTCTTGGTTAGGACCCCCTGCTCAGATCCCCATGATAAATACGACAGCATTTTTCATCAATCCCACCCACCAGGAAAGAGATGCCTTTCTTCATCTTTCTTCTGAGTCCACCACAAAGTAAAAAATTACTGTTGTCACATCTATAGTCCCCTTTTGTTACTTAGATAAATACTCCCCAAGCCTCCCATCCATGGCACAACTGGGAGGTGGTAGAAGCTTTAAGAGGAGAAGCCTATTGAGAAATATTCTTGTCTTCTGGAGCATGATCGTGAAAAGGTGCTTAAGTATGTTACTCATGGACTTGTAATGAGATCTAAATAGTCATTGAGTCAGTTATGCGCTATACAACATTTCAGTCACTAGTGGACCTTAAGGGACCTTGAGGGTGCCATAAGATTGTGTGGCCCAGTGGCATTGTAGGCATCTTAGTTTCTAGAACATTCTATGGTGGTCTACAATAGGAAATCACCTAACCATTTCTCTTTGTCATGCAGTATATGACTGTTCTTGCAATGTGTCAGAACTGTGCCTGGAATATCACAAGTACTCAAAATGGTTGCCATCGTTGTGTTGAGTAGTAGTGAGGCCAGTTTTCACCAGCTTTGGGTCCTCCAATGAGCCAGCACAGCACTATAGAATTTGCCCTTGTAGTAATACTTGCATATTCATTCTCCTCATAGACATGACATTTCACATTTATTTCAAGACAAAGTCACTGCCTATATTATTGCTAATTTCCCTATTTGAGTATAATAAAGATTATTATTGAAGGTTAAAAATTAGTCTTAATTCACAAACTGTACAGACTTTTGCATTTTGTCACTTGTTTTTTCATTTGAAGTAACATCAATTAACATTATTTTGAAATTGGCAATATTTATGTGTTGTAATACTTCTTCAGTAAACTGGCTAGTAATGCTGTTTTCTAAGTAATGATGGTGATTTTGATCTTAGTAAATTGTTATACTATAGAGAAAATCTACAGCAAGATTGTAGAAGGCTTTACTAACTGCTTAGTTTAATTTCTTAGTTTAATGTGTGTGCGTGTGTGTGTGCACATGTGTGTGTGTATGTGTATGCATGTGCGTGCTGGAAAAGACTTTGGTTCTTTGTTCCTTTTAATTGAGTGTGGTCTGCTCATGTTTTTCTTCTTGTTGATATAATGGAGTTCCAAAGTCAATATCCTGATGTGACATCCTGCTATTAAATTATTTTAAAAGTATGCATTTGTTCACACATACATACATATATTTCTCTTATTTTTCATTTGGAAAATTAAGGCAGACTATAGTCCTTGAGTTCACAGTTTCTGACTTGTTTGGAATGATTTCTTCAAGCATTCTGGTAGAAGAAAATATTAAAATTAGAAAGAAGCATAGCTTCAGTATCTACTAGACATGTATTTTTCACATATACTCTCAGTTGACATGATAGTCATATTTTTCATATTTTAAAAAAAAGCAGCATAAGATCTTGAATACAAATGTGCTTAGAAGGATTTGGGGCAGAACTGTTGTAGTTGAGCACCCTGCACTAACCTTATCAGAAAAGCCAATGGCAGTCGAGAACTCAGCAAGAAGCATCCAGTTACATGTACCATAAGTCTTGCTGTTTTATAACCACCACATTACCTCTCTCTGCTGAAGTCGTCATTCTTTAAAAAAAATTTATTTTAGAGATACTGTACAGAGGGGTTACAGTTACATGAGTAAGGTAAGGAGTACATTTCCTATTGAGCATTGTTACCCCCTCCTTCATTTTTCACCTATTCATTCTTAATTTCACTTGTCAACTGATTGAGTAACAAGCTAATCATTTATTATTTGAAACCTAAGAGTCTTCTGTGAGAGCACTGACTCAGTGAAATGAAGCATTCTCTGGGCTAGACCTGAAGCTCCATGGTAGAGTGCTTGTCTAGTGTGAACACAGAAAGCCTTGGGTTCCATCCCCAGCACCAGAGAAATAATTAGAGCTAGATAATGAAGCAGCTGGATCTTACTTTAATAAATCAGAGCTCAATTTTTATATCATAGTTGCTAGAATTGAAGTAAGATTTCCATCTGTGAATTCCTTCCTTCCTTCCTTCCTTTCTTCCTTCCTTCCTTCTTTCCTGTCTTCCTGCCTTCCTGCCTTCCTTCTTTCTTCTTTTGCCTTCCCTCCTCCCCTCCTCTGCCCTCCCCTTGCCTTTCCTTCCTTCTTATTAGGCAAGAAATATGCCACTGAGCTACATCACAAGTCTTCTTTTGGAGATAAGGTCTTGGTATATAGCCCAGGCAAGTCTCAAACTCTTAATCCTCCTGCCTCCACCCTTACAAATGCTGGAGTTATAGGCATGCACCACCAAGCTGTGATTTCTTGATTGTGTTGTCACAGGCAGTTGACTGGATGCTTGCTATCTGACTCACTTGGGTAATAATGTATAATATTGCTTTTTGTCATTACAGAACTGCCTAGAAATCTTGTGTAGGCATGGAGGTCTGGAGCCTGAAAAGCGAGACAGGTGCAACCGAACTGTGCATGATGTTGCCACTGATGACTGCAAGCATCTGCTGGAGAATTTGAGTGAGAGACATTCAAAGCTTTTCCTTCACCCTTTTTCTACCCAGTGGGATCCCTGGGACACTAGGAAAAATATTCATGCAACTACAATTTTCTTCACCTCTTAACTTCTTTTAAGTTTTAGCTGCTGCTGCTGCTGAAAAAAAAAAAACCCAAACATTTTATTGATTGTAACTCTTTTTTTCCACAGAACTATTAGCATTCAAATACTGCTAGGTCTTTTTTTGTTGTTTTGTACTGACTGACTTAGGAGAGCAGTCTAAAGAATGATTGCCTTTTCTTCTTGCTTAGATAGTCTTTCAAGCTATTAGACTGCCAGGTGAGAAATCCCTGCTGTGTTTTCTGTATCCACTGATCATATGAACCAAGCAAGTGGGTTGCCTACTTCTTTCTGTAGATAATTGATGAACTTTTGAGTCCCTTCCAACATTAGAGTGTATCCTCTTCAGCACATTTTATGAAAGGCTTGCTTGTGGGTTTATGAATATGGATTGCTTAGTGATACAAAATGTTGTCACTTAAATTGGTTATCACCCAATTCAGCTGTTTTACCACCTAGTTCAGTAATCCAGCATTAAGATATGCAGAATTTTGAAAGTTAAATAATGTTTTAACCTACAATTTTATACATTGATTTTTATTCTGTGTGTATAATAATACATTAATGGAAAGATGTGAGTCATAGAAATTCTCTTTACATCTAAAATTTTGACTATAAAATGGCTTTCATTATCAATAGAACCCAGCTTTTAAGGCTTTAAACTTTTGGATCTCTATTCATTGGAATCTTCATTCATCAGAAGCAGTCCTTACTAAATAGCATTTCTCTATGATACTAATAATAGTGAGAGATTTCTCATCATCTTTTAGCTTTTTATTTTCATAGACTGAAATTAACCTAATAGTGTATCCAGTTTTCTATTAATCTGAAAACAGCTTTGCTATAATATAGTAAAAGTACACTTTTTGATAGTAAACATTTAAAAAGAATAATTATTGATAACTTGTTTATTGGATGTGAAACATAAAACTATTGGCTTTGGAGAAGCACAAGTGGAGAGCTGAATAGATGAGACAAAGAAGTGCATATAACGTTTAATATTAGATTTACTAGTTTGTTTTTGTAGTTGGTGGTAGTGCTTGTTGTTGGTGCGGTACTGGGTTTGAACTCAGAGCCTTGTGCCTGCAAGTGCACTACCACTTGAACTGTTCGCTCAGCCCTGTTTTGTTTTTGTTATTTTTCAAGTCTTGTGTTTTTATCTCAGGTTAGCCTGGACTGTGATCCTCTTATTTACACTTACTGCATAAATGAGATAATAGTCATGTGCCACCCTACCTAGCTTATTTTGATTGGGATGGGTTCTTACTGTTTTTGTCCAGAGTATCCTGAAACTGTGATCTTCCAAATCTCAACCATTTCCAAAGAGTGAGCCACCACTCCTGATGAATAGTAGAGCTTTTTTTTTGTTTTCCTTTGTTTGCTTTATTTTGAAATAAAGTCTGGCTGTGTGGCCCAGGCTTCCTCAAACTCTCAGGCTTCTGCTTCACCTTCACAAATGCTGGGATTATAAATGTGTGCCATTGTGTGCAGTTTTCATTGTATATGACAAGTGAAGAAGAACTAGTTAGATTCTTGACAGTGCATATGATTTTCATGGTGTTTTAGAATGAGGTAGGCAGTTCTGCGAGGGAGAAGTTAACTTCTAAGACCAAGCATTAAGAAGTTTGCATGTCTCAGCACTCAGGAGCCTGTTCAGGAGGATCATGTGTTCATGATCTAAGGTATATAGTGTACTTGAGGCCAGCATGGGCTACGTATCGTAAATATTGTCTGTCAACAAACTAAAGAAATCTAAGCAAAAATACAATGGGGATCAAAAAGAGAAAATGTGTCTGAAGTTGGATCAAGACAATAATGAAGGAAGTGGTACACATTGAAGAGAAGGATGGATATGTCCAAAAGCAAGGATTAAAAAGACATTAAGAAATAGAAGACTGACATGAGGAACCTAGATATAGTTTCTGTCTCAGACATTGGCACAATTTGGATGATTTGGGGAAAAGTCCTTATACCTAGACACCATACTCTTCTTTAAAGTCTGCTTCATCTCAAGCTAAGTACTTAGTCTTTCCTGACTCAGTTTGTTGTCTGTCACCAGGAGTTCATAATTACTTACACCTAGCAGCAGAAGTGTGGATAATTTGTTAGTCTCTCTAAGACTTATAAGTTTGAAAATCTCATAGAAGGAAAAAAGGAGGATATTGTTTAGATGAAAATATGACTTCCCTAAGACCTACAGTAGAAGCTGAAATTTACTACAGAGATAGTCCAGATGAAAAGAATGTATCAAAAATCCCATCTATCTTCAGCATGTTTTTTTTTTATCCCTTGCCTCAGTTTATAAGCAAAGCTGCTCTTGCACATGTGTGCCAGAACATACAAAGATGTTAACTGGGATCTTGTTAGCAACAAGAGACAATTGAAAACATTCTAACTGGAAATCTGTTGTGCATTGGGTATGGCTAATCTTAAAAAAATAGAAAAGTTCACTCTTTGAAGTTCTCAAAAAGTACTTAAATATTGATCTATAAATCACTAGATACACTAGAAGTGTCCATGGAAAGAGAAAAGTTACAAAAGGATACATAAATAATACCATCTTGTATAAAATTTCCAAATGATAACACTAAGCCTATAGTTATTATGAGTACCTCTAAATGAGGTAGGTAGTTCAGGAGGAAGTGAGAAAATTAAAATGAGGATTGAAAAGCTAGACTAAGAGCCATAGAGTCTTTCCCTGTGAGCCAACAAGGACCTGGAGGCATTGGAGAGTGTAACCTTTCAATCTGCAGTGCTGGGAAAAGGAAGAAGGTGAGTGGAATATAGCCCAGGGTCAAGTCATATAAGGCTTTGACTTCCTTTTAACACAATCCTATGGGCAAATTTTGGCTTAGTCCTGAGTGTTGTCCAGTAAATGAGGAAATGAGAGATCAGTAATGAAGAAATACTTTCTTCCTATAGAATGCCCTAGAGGAGAAGGGATTATGACTGTTATCAAGTAGAGAGAAGGAAGACCGGAACTAACCAGGCCTGAGATCAAGCCTGGAGAAGAGGGGCATGGTTGTGTTAAGTCCTCAGTGTGGTATTAACCAACTGTGATACGTAGGGTGACAGAAAGGGATATTAAGGTCCAAGCCTAGACACACCTATTAAGAGAGAGAGAAAGAGAGAGAGCGAGAGAGCGAGAGAGAGAGAGAGAGAGAGAGAGAGAGAGAGAGAACATGCACTAATGACTCACAAAGAACAACTAGAAGAATTTGGCAGGAAGAAAAGTCAGAAAGCAATGATGTAAACAGGTCTAAAGGTAGAAACTTTCTGAGAGGAAGTAGTTAAGGGTTCCATTTAAAAAGTAGAGTCATTTCTACTTGACAATTAGGAAATTGTGAGTTACAGGGAGAGAAATTTCTGGCAGCTCTGTAAGCAGAGGCTTACTGTTTTAAATTATGAATTATGTGAAGAGGTAGTGGAAAACACAGTTGTAGATTCCTACCCTTTAATGTATTTATTGGGCAAATAATTACTTAGTTCCCAAATGTGCCAGTGACTACCTTAGCCACATGGGATACATCAGATATTTTTAAGACTGTCATCACAAAGCTCTTATTCTAACACTACAAGAAATGAACAATAAATGTAAGAAATCTCGATATTATGGTATTGTAAAGTGGTGAGATGAGCCATGACAGGAACTAAAGGATATTGTGAGGGAAGGTAGCTTTGCATTTTTCAATGGTCATTGAGATAGCTTTACTGGTAAAACATTTAAGCAGACTTGAAGGAAATGAGTAGGGATGATGTTTAGATATTTTGGTGGGAATATCAAGTGGGAAGAGCCATTAAGGTCAGAGGTGCTGTCCAAGGAGCTTCAAGATGGGCAAAATTATTTGGTTCAACTCAGCATGGAAAGCAAACAGGAAAAGAGGATTGGGTGGAGACCTGATCTTTGTGGAATTTATAAATCATTGTGAAGACTTAAAGTAGCCACACTGGTGACTAGTGTGATGTGTGTTTTAACAATCACTAGTTGTTTGACCAAGGATAGACTGGGCAGATCAGGACCATCTCCAAGGACATGACTAGTATCCCATGTGATGTCTCAAGGTAATGTCTCAATCTAGGATTGTAGCAGATCAGGTGTAGTGAGGAGTACTCCAAGTTCTGAAGATGCAGAATTGAGGCTCAGTAGAACTTCCTGATGGACATGAGAAACCTAATGGCAAGGGAAATCATGGATAACTCCCAACACCTGGCAGCCTGGGGTTACCATCACCAGGGAAAGAGAAAGCTGTTAAGGTTGAAGCAGGCTTTGCTAATGAACAGCAAGACTGGGGATTTTTAGGTGTATGAATTGAGAGGCTTGTGAGGCCATCTGACCCAAGTCAGCAGGAAGTGTGCAGATGAGGATGAACTGGGAGTAAAACACTGAGAATTGGCATTCAGTTGCTGACATTTAAAATTCGTGGAACTTGATAGGATCACTAAGGGAGTGAACACAGAAAATAATTATTCTAAACCACTGCCATTAGAAACTCTGGAAAAAGTAGAGGGAAAAGGAAAAAATATGAAAGGAAAGAGCCAGCAGTGAAGTGTGGGAAATCAAGTAGCACTCTGTCACCATCTAGAGAGGTCACTTAGGTCAGATTCTGTTGATAACACAACCTACAGTTAAAACATGGAATGATAGTTAGCTGGCTGAAGGAAAAAGGCATTTTATAAAAGGATTATTAAAGGACACACCTTAAAACATTTCATTTCAGCATTAAATCATAAAAAATAATTCTTTCACCAACTTTTAGAAGGTTTTTAGTGTGCTTTTGCTAACTGAAATTCCTTATCTTTGAATAAAACATACCTTGAATGCCTCTCGCCCACAATTTCTAATGTTTGAGCATTTAACATCCTTTTCAAGCAAGCTAAAAGTAGTATCCAGAGATTATTTTTTCTAAGTTTGTATAGTTTTCTCATAGTTAATAGATGAGATTTTCACAACTCCATTGAATGTCTATGAAGTACTCAATTTAATTTAAATAAGAGTAAAGTCAATTCAATAGTATCATTTTATAGGACCATATGTACATAGCTATTGAGCCCTTATGATCTTCTCCTAAGGAGATCCTCCTTTGTTCTCACTGGGTGAATGTTTAGAGTGCTGTTTAATTAATCATGTCCAAATGTAATTATTTATCTTTTACTATCCATTGGGTTTACTTGTAGATTTATGGGCATGTCCTAAGTATTACAAATGAGGGAAACTCTCCAGCCTATGGTTTTTATTGTACTTTTTGTGGAGGGTTTTATCCCCTCAAACTCTCTCACTTTAGTTTATTCCTTTTGGCCTTGTTTTTATTTAAATTTTATTTTTTTAAATGCATAAACTGATGAAACCTAACTTTACTCTTTTTTAAAAAACTTTTATTGTAAGGGTGATGTACACAGAGGTTCCAGTTACGTAAGTCAGGTAATGAGTACATTTCTTTTTGACTAGTGATCTCCTCCCTCATTTTCTCCCACTTTCCCCTCTGAATCCCCCTCCCAAGTTGCAAAGTAAATTTTCAACATATTTTCTAGTGAGTATCATTGTTGCCTTGGTTCACCCTTTATCCCAATGTTTCTATGATTCTCCTTCCCTTCTCCAAATTAGATAAATAGATAAAAGACAAAAGGGCACAGAAATCAAAAATAATAACAGCAGGGAATAAACCAAAGCATCAAAAAAGGAAAGAAAATAAATAACTGCTAACAATACAGTAAAAAAAAAACTTCTTGTTTCAATTTCTTGGAGTTCATTTTGATTAGCATCATTTTATATGGTCCTATGCTATTGAGCTCTTTGTGATCCTATGCTAAGACTATCCTAGCCATAATGTTTTGAAGTTTTATTATAAAGTTGATGTTATGAAATTTTATTAAGTTCACTAATTATAGTAATGAGTTCAATGGGCATAGAAGATTTGTGGCCAAACACTAAGAAATTCTTAATAAACTTACGATTCACTTCACAAGAATTAGAAGTACATGGGGTGTTGCTGCCACCTTGGAGCCTCTGAGAGGGATTCAGAGCTTACTGACCCATGTTAGTGAGAACTGACTTGCTCACGACATTGTCTATAAACGTAAAAAGAATATAGAAAATTTAGTTAAGGAAGGGCTCTACTTTTCTCAGAAGTTTCTTTTTAATGACTTAGTGAAAGGAGTCAATGAAATTAAAAAGACTAAAAGATACAAGGAAAGAAAGAGTTCATATAATATGCCCTTAAAGAAACTGAGAAGAAGTTGGGAGAGCGAAGTTTACTCTACTATAAGAAGATTCAACTTGATGTTATTTATAAAGAAAAACATATACATATAAATATTTATTTGTTTGTTTATTTGGTGGTTTTAGGACAGAGAGGGTCTCATTATATGGACCCTGGGCAGACTCAGTTTCAGCCTCTGAAGTATTGAGATTACAGGCATACACCACCATGTGAACCCTTTGTTTTATTTTTAAAATATTCAAATTTGTTTATATAATAACTCTGCTGGGGGATATTTTTCCCTACCAAATCTTTTTAAACTTCTATTTCTTTTATTTCTTTAACAGATGCTCTTAAAATACCCTTAAGGATTTCTGTGGGTGAGATCCCACCAAGCAACGGTGGCTCAGATGACTTGGAATGCGAGAATACCTTATGTGCTTTAAATATCCGCAAACAGACATCATGGGATGATTTTTCAAAAGCAGTGAGTCAAGCTCTGACAAATCATTTCCAAGCAATCTCTGCTGATGGATGGTGGAGTCTGGAAGACGTGACACTTAATAACACCACTGACTCCAACATTGGCCTCGGTGCAAGCAGCATACGATCCATCACTCTAGGTATCCACCATCCTATAATGAAGAGAGTGTTTGGTGTCTGAGTTCATTTCTGTTTGTGGGCTTCATAACGTAGTTTATGGATTAAGCACATTCAAAGCTCACATGTGGCAGCTGAGTACTCACAATGTAGCCATTACATAATGCAGCCTGTTAGTATAAAAATGCTTTTATGCCTCAAATAATAAAGAGCCCGAAAGCCTTTGATGAGGCTTTGTGATTACACTTGCTATTCTCAATAAATGCAAAAAACGATCCACACACACAGCTGCTTGCTAATGCACAAATTGTGAACACAGCTCCAAATCTGTCTTCAGGCTGAGCCAGGGGTCCTGCAGTTCATTTTCACCTTACCTCCAAGGTGAGGGTCCTGATAAAGTGGAGCTGGAAGACATGCTTTAATGAAGATGTATCCACATAGGATGGGTCAGAGTGAAAACTGTTGGTTTCTACTTGTTAGCATAAAAACAGACTGAACAGAATTTAGGAAGATATGATTTGCCTACTGAACAAATAAATGCTCTGTAAGTGTTTTCCCTCTTGGACAGGAGAACTAAGATCTATGAGGCACCTTCTTTGCTAGGTTTGTGCTGCTGGGTGCTTTATGAACAGTCCTTACCCAAGCTTCATTGTACAGCTAGCTAGATATTAGAGGATTTGCTTAGTTAGATAGCTAATGCTCAGAGCAGTCAGGAATCAAGTCATTTTCTGATAGGAAAGCTTGTGCACTTTCAATAGCCCCATGTTGGAAAGGAAAAGCATGAGGAAAAGGCAAGCTTTCAGAATTATCAGCTTCTATCACAAGGTCTTTTATCCTGTCTGCTTACTTGTGCAATCTCTGTGTGTCTCTGTATCTTTGTCTGTGTCTCTCTAATACACACACACACACACACACACACACACAGATTCCAATAGTTTTAGAGTAACTATACTTTTATGAGCCTTTGGTATATTATTAAAAGTATCATTATTGGACTGTTATGTTATTTTAAAAATAAAATTAGAAAAAGAATTCATAAATGATTACCAGATACACGATTTTCTTTTTCACACAGTGGAAATCATGGTTCTCAGATGGGTCTGCTACCTGCTCACATGCACCAAGCTTTGGCAAGAGGCTCATGAGTTCCAGGCCAGCCTGTACTACTATACACAACAAGCTTTAGGCCAGCCTGGGCCATCTAGTGAGATGCTGTCTCAAACAAACTGTGAGGATGCTTGCATGATTCTTAGCTCCTGGATTATACCCTCCCTGCCTGGAATCTAAAATTGGCTAGAAAGAGCCACAGAGATTAGATCATAAAGGCTTTGAGTACCAAAGTGTTCGGACTTCATGAAACAGGCATTTGAAGAATCATGGAATGGTTTTGAGACTTCAAACCTTTTGACTTCCAACAAAAATTTCTATAGGGAGTTTAAACCCTTGTGTGACCCTTTATGGGTTCCATAACGATACAGACTGTGGAGTCCTGAGAGTCCTCACAGAAAAAGAGCCTATGTTTTTGCAAAAAAGCCAAACTTTAATTTGTCCCTAACATTTTACTTCATCTTTTTTTGAACTAGGAAATGTGCCATGGTCAGCTGGTCAGAGCTTCAGCCAGTCTCCATGGGACTTTGTGAGGAAAGCAAAAGTGGAACAGGTCACCGTGCTTCTGTCAGGTAATGGTGTTCTTTACTTAGGTGAGGAGCCAAGTATTTTCCACTTCCTAAACCCCAGGTCTTTGTCTTCTAGCCACACACATGTGACTCCCTTGTGGAGTAACTGGATGTCTTCTGAAACATTTGATTTCAGGGAGCTAAACGCAGACACCATGTCTCTGACATCTGTCAGAGATGGATACCCTGCTTATGGGTTCCATTCTCCTTACATCCTTCATTAGAAACAACCCCGAGGCCAAACTGACATGTTGAGGGCAGAGTGAGAGACACTATTAAAAGAAAGATGTCTTTTGTTACTGTCAAGTACAGTGTATGTTTAGTGTAATGGTACAGGCTAAAACTCAGTAAGCACTTACTATTTAAAATTGTGTTTATATTTATAGTGTTGCACAAATAGAAACTCACTTAGTCCTCATAGCAACTGAATAAGATACATTTTTCTGTTTTTTTTTTTTATTTTCTATGTGAAATTGAGGCTCAGATTGGCTTTCTGACCTTACGTTTCGCTATGAGTGAGGCGAATATTTATGTCTAGTTTTATAACCTGATTTCTGAAGCACTACTGACTTCATGGATTTTCCATACTTGAGGATGGACTTAAAAAATTAGTCTCAACTAAAAGTTTTCTTTTGCTGTTTGAAATGTACTTACTGCAATTTTAAAACAAATGTAGAGAATCCAACATAGAAAATTCCTTCATTTTCAGTGATATTGGGGGAATGGCTGTGGTTGAGGTGGGCTGGAGGCCTAAAGGGAGACCATAGACTTGTATGTTAATATTGGCCAGGGCTAAATCTTTCTGAGGACCTGGACTATCTATAATAACTCTGGCTTGCGAACAATAAGATATTGAACCCAGCTATCAGCAGACACCAACCACAGAGTTGGGGCTGAAATCTGGAGGCCCTAGCTGTGATTGCTAGGGTACAGTACAAGTACAGCAGTATTTTCACAGAGGCAAAGCTACCCTGATGCTTCGTGGCCAAATGTCAGCACTGTCCACAGAAATTCACCAAAAAATACTTTTTTCCTTTTATCATAGGTTTGAATTCTTTCCCTCTATAAAATAAAAGAGTTATAAGGCAGAAGAAGTGGGAGCAGAGGAAAAGTTAATTTGAAAATAAGAGTAAGATGTCTGGGAAACTGAAGGAAGCCACTTAGCTACTGTTGGGTTGGTACAAGTGACAACCAGGACTCCTGGCTGGGAGGGCCACCTTATACTGTTTGAAGTACTGTCCACTTGCAAGGGCATGGGTTAGAATACGGAAAGAAGTAAGGCACCCAGTAATTGGTAAGCCCAGCCTCAAGGGTCCCTTTATTATAGCTCTTTTGGTTGGGTCACAGATTTCCTTACCCCAAGTTGGTCTGTTTCAGGGTCATTTCATCAGGTTTTTATCTGGTTTTATCTGGTTCCCTGACTCTTCAGGAAGAGGAGGATCTTGGGCAACCTATCTCTGCCCGAGGGTTCCCAGGAAAAGGAGGAGGTAGCACCCCCACCAGGTCTTTCCCCTTCTGTCTCTCTCTCTCAGGTTCTGTTGTGCTTTGATTGTGGATATTAAACAAAGAAGAGCCAACTTTTCTTCTGTGAATTTCTTTCTTTTAGGTCCCCAAGAAGGCTGCCTTAGTAGTGTGACATATGCATCCATGATTCCTCTCCAGATGCTGCAGAACTACCTCAGGCTGGTAAGTTGGCACTGCCAAGAGACCTTCACCTCCCATCCCTGTTCATCCTTACCCTGACAATTGTTTTTCCCAGCCCCGTCTCTGCCATCATTTAAGGCTAGAATTGTGTTCTCCTCCAGGAATTTGTTGCCTATACCCAGAGACCAGCAACTAACATAATTACTGATTTGGGAATGAGCAACTTGTCCTACTTTAACAAGGACTTACATCAAATAAATGATCATCAATAAGGAAGTGATGATCTGTACGTACCAAGATGTCTTACTGTGAACTTACATAATTTAATATGCTGACATTGGTTAAAATAGCTCCATTTTTATAAAACTAAAGTAATTAGAGCTTACACAGAACAGAAGTTTGCTTTTCTTGCATGCTATAAGCCTGCAGCAACTGAGAGGTCTGGGGAACGGGAAGAGGCAGGGAGGTGGACTGCTCCAGGGTCTCAGTTCCATCTCTGCTTCACTCTTCTCAGGATTTAGTTTACATCATTCGGTCAGGAGTCCTTTTTCCCACACCCAGTCCCTAGCCTCAGATAAGAGAGCCTGAAGGGCAAGCCTCCTCCTTCCAGGGATATTAAATATTTGTCTATCCTGCTCATCTCCCTTGGACTAGAATTTCAGATCGGACAAATCCAGAGCATTACAAACACACCCATTTGTTGGGCAACCATGTACCCTACTAACACACTAATGGGGAGAAGGATAATATAATTATGAAAAGAAATAGCAAAGTCTAGGTACAAAATGGATCAATGAACACTTTGCATGCAATAAATATTTCCTACATTCCAAGCAGTTATGCTAAGCATTTTATGTGTCTCGTCTTTTGTTTGTTTTCAAAACATCCCTATGAGGTAGTTAATTTCATCCACTTTTTTTAATGAGGAAACTAAAGTAGAGAGAAGCAACATGACTTACTCAAAGCCACACACTTAGCAAGTAAAGAAGCAAGAGTTATGTGGGTACTCGAGATACTGTGCTTTAGTGGATGAGCTTTATAAAATGATCAAATGGTCCTGAGAAGAATGAAGCAGAGATGGAACTGAGACCCTGGAGCAGTCCATCTCCCTGCCTCTTCCTGCTCCCCAGACCTCTCAGTTGCTGCAGGCTTAAGGCGCACAAGAAAAACACTAATAGTATAACATAACTGAACAGTTGATTTTGCTGTTTAGACAGCTTTAAAAAATGAGTTCAACTATAACTCTTTATACAAGTTGTTGAAGAGTGAATCGATGTTTTTGTGTTCATTCTTGATGAAAAGAACTATTCTGAGCCATTCCATTGATCTAGTTGACCTCAAAGTTAGGACTGGCTTTTTGTACAAGCAGCCTTGGTAGCCTGTATAGTTTCCAAAGTATCCCCTCTGGGAGGTGGTGGTCTTCACAGTCTGATATTTCCTTCGTTTATTTTTTTCTTTGCTATTTGTTCCTCTTTCCTCTAAGCACCAAAGTATACCTGAAGGAAATAGCTCATTCCTTTGCTTATGTGCAGGTTGAAAGGTGTGACCAACTGATTTTCATGAATATGAGAGCCAAGTTTCCTTTTCTTTCTTTCCCCTACCCAACACTATAAGCCAAGCAAGATTCTGGCCTAATGGCTTTGCATTTATTGGTTAAATGATGACATTGTCAACAAAATTATAACAATTTTAAAGATAGAGAGTGACTGTGTATTATAATATTTCATTCCATTAAGTAGAATAAATGCACTAGTGAGCAGTGTGGGAGAGTTGGTTCTATAGGCAAAGCAGGGCTGAAGAAAACAAAAACGTCAAGGACTAGAAGTGAATAGGTTGTTTTCTCTGTAAGGCAGGACAAGGAGACTATAGAAGAATAACTGGTCGTTTAAGGTCAGGATACTTTTCTATAAGGATTAAACAGAGGGCACTTTTATCATGCTGACTGAAAGTGCCCCATTTGGGAAACTTGGCTGTCATCTCTTGATTTCTCATGAGATCAGATAGCTTAGTTTTGGTTTAACAAAGTAGAATTTTAGTGTAGGTGACCTCATTTTGAGTTGTCATCTGGTTTTTCCAGGCCCAATTCAGGAGCCTGGTCTCCAAACATGACCTCTGTAATTTTTATTCAATAGATGATTAGAGCAGACAACTGTATCAAAACTGCACATTGCAAAGTGAATCCCTGCCCTAAAGAACAAGAAGAAAAATCTGTCACAAAAGAAAAAAAAAAAAACCTCAACATCAGCATCCACTGGTGAACCTAAAATGAAATCTTCAGTGAATTCTTAAATAATGCAAGTAGTTGTGTTGTATGTAGCACATATCAGATATCCTTAACACGTGTTCATCCTGATTATTTGATCACTGGTTTCATTACTAATGGTCAAAATAAATTAGCACTGTTTTTTTGTTCGAGTCTCAACTTAGTGATTATACACAAAGGACTTTTAAAACCTAAGAGGCTCACACCTGTAATTTCAGCTAAGTGGGAAGTAGTGATGGGGAAGATCTTAGATCAAAGCTAACCTAGCCAAAAATGTAGCAAGATCCTGTAGTATTTGATAAGCTAGCATGTTGGGCATGCCTATCCCATCTATACTGAAAGCCCTAAGTAGAGCTATGTACTGTCATACCTGGGTATTTTTGGCCATTGACCTATAACATTCTATCTCTTCATGAGGATCTTTCTTTGAACTGATTCTGGCTTTTATATTTTCCATAACTCCATGTATGAATCGTAAATTTCTTTTGAATTCTCTTTTCTCCTTTATATGTAGTCCATGGAGACCTCAGGAAATGATTAAAACTCTAACATGAAAATCTCGAGGTTTTTTTTTTTAAATTCCAAATGCTAGATGTTTAAAATTCTTGATCATTCATACATGCTAATGAACACATTCCATTAGAAGTCTTTTTTCATTTCAGTTATTACAGATGTCTTGTTATTTTTTGCTGTCTCATTAAATAATGTATAGTGATATTAACCCTCAAATTCTGAACAAAAAATACAATTGCTGAGAGTAATGGTTGAGACTACTGCAAATAATAGATATTGTTTGGATGAACTTTATGTGACTGAATTGACAGTAACTGCCACTATGGCTCTAAAATGATGAATAAAAGTCCTTTAAAAGTGTCAGAAGAGTTGGAATATAATTTCTAACTATAAAATACATGACTGACAGCTACCCCAATTTTTATAGACTCAGTAGAGCCTTTATCTTTCATCATCTTTGGAATTTAGTGTCTCAGCACAATCTGGTCAAAAACTGTCTCAGGGGAGTGGAAGCTTTCCCATGACAAGTGGAACACCAAACAAAGTTGAGATTTATTTCTTTAAAATTCTAGAAACCCCCAAACACATTACAAACTGCCGCATGGGCAGTAGTGGAGACCACAGCCCCTCTACTAAGCTCTGTTCTGCAGAGAAGCATTGTGGAGGATAAAAAGGAAAGAGTGGATGGTCCATTGTTGAGGTCACTTGTTTCCAGAATCCCTATGCCTCACAAAGCTCTAATTGACATGTGATGGGCTTCCTGAATAGGCTGTGAAGACAGAATAAAAGGGATTGGTACCAATTGTGATAACAAGGCCAGTGTCCCTTCACTAATAAGCAAAAATGTCACACTTACAGAGTAGGTAATTCTGGTAACTAGAAAACTTTCAAAGTTGAACTTCTTTATTTTATTTTAAAGAATAGACTTTCTTCAAATACAATTAAAACCTTTCCAACCACACTTCAGAAACCTGCCTGCTTCTATCTTTTGTGCCCTCTGGTGGAAGTATGGAGCATTAATGCAACAGAGAAATATAATTCAAACAATTCTTTGTGTGATGCAATTGAATAAAAATTAAAAGTTAGTAATAGATAAAACAAAGAAGAAATCACTAATGTAGTATGTACATTAGAATATATGTCATGGTAAATCTATGCATTTGTTTTTCTCTTTGCCTATGTAATTCCCTAATGTATTTATATTCTGACATAGTCCACAAAGAACATTAAGAGATGGAGACAACAGGATTGGGAAGGTAGCTCAGTGCTAAAGTGCTTGCCTTGCATTCATAAGGCCCTGTTTGATTCCTCAGCACCACATAAGCTGAAAAAGCCAGAAGTGGTACTGTGGTTTTAGTGGTAGAGCGCTAGCCTTGACCTGAAGAGCTGAGGGACAGTGCCCGGGCCCAGAGTTCAGTCCCCACGATGGCAAAAAATAAAAGAGAGAGAGATGGACAAAACAAAGGACTTTTCTGCTAGTGAATGGCCTTTGCAACCAAATTGTAAATTAAATGTTTTCTCTCTTGTGTTTTCTGAGAACAAATAAGATGTTGAAATCAAAGGCAACTTATCTGTGAAGTTGGGACTCTTGCTGTTATGTGATTTCATGGAAGTGTAGGCTGTTTGATAGAATCGCTGTAATAAACAGAGCACTCTTGTTTTCAGAAATGAAACGAGATTCAATTGCAATGATGGTTGAAAAATCTCAGGGGTAGCATATTCAGTAAATCCTGAAAATCTGTATCCTGTTTCATTGTGCTAAAATTGCTACCCAGTAATTCATAGCAATTGGGATTAATTTGGCTAGTTTGAGAGTTTTTGTTTTAAAATTGCACCTGGCTATCAATAGCTAATGCGCAATTTCCCACTATAAAGTTCTTTTGAAAACTGTCAAAACCTCACAATAGCAGAGAAAAAAAAGAATCAAGTTCTTCTCTTGGCAAGAAAATGTTTTTGTTACCTTTAGAACCACTAGTACCTCAGGAAAGAGCCCCTAGTACCACACTATTGAGAGTTTTTCTTGTGACTTTTAGTACACTGACATTCCTTGAGCATTTAGTCTATTATTGAAGGCATATAAGTCATAGAATAGTACTTTATTTCAGAGAAAAAAAAAAACAGTAGCTTTTAAGCTCTGAGAGCCTAAAAGCTAGTCCTAAGATTATAACCAAAAAGCCTCTTCCCCTTCTTGGCTCACAGTTGGATACCTGCTGGTCAAACGTGGCTTTTTTTTTTTTTTTTTGGGTCTGGTTGTGGGGCCTGAACTCTGGGCCTGGGCGCTGTCCCTCAGCTCTTCAGCTCAAGGCTAGCACTCTACCACTTGAGCCACAGCACCACTTCTGGCTTTTTTTTTCTTTTTACTTATATGGTGCTGAGGAATCGAACCCAGGGCCTCATGCATGCAAGGCAAGTGCTCTACCACTGAGCCACCTTCCCAGCCCCCAAACGTGGCTTTCTTCTGATTTCCTATAGTTCCCACATTTATGTTTAGGTCTTAGCAGCCAAAGTTCAATACATAAAGTCTCCAAGTAAAGGAGTTCTTCCTTCCAACTGCTTTTCCTCAAGCTTTCATTATATATCCCAGAATCTTTCCCTTCTTGCATGGGTGGACCCTATTTACAAATTTAATGTATTTTCAAAGTAGTACATACCTCCTTGTCCTGGATCTCAATGGGACAACTTCCTCTAAGCACAGTACAGCAACAGCAGTACAAAGACACACAAACATGGTTTTGTATTATCCATTTCATTTAGAGAATGGATATTTTCATGCTTCATATCTAAGTCCAGGCAACTCAGTGTAATCAGCTGTACTTGTTAGGTTGGAACTGTACATGTCAGGGTCTTTCTCTGCAAGACCTTTCCAAAAGAAAGTTGCTACTGAGTTTGTGTGCTGGGAATGGAGGCTCAGCCCTGGAGTGACAGAAATGGGAAGCTTCCCTCCTCTTTCCATCTTGCTATAGACACTGCTGCTTCTGCCATGTTAAATGATAATAATTGGCTTTCTATTGAAGAGCAAGCTATGACTCTATGTGTTCTCACACACTATATCCCTAAACAACATTAAGGTTGAAAATTTCCTAAAGACATCCAGACAGGAAGATTCCTTTTACAAAGTGACCCGTCTCCACCTAGATTTCTTTCTTTCTTTTCTTTTTTTTTCGGGGTGTGGGGAGGGGGTCTGGTCATGGGGCCTGAACTCTGAGCCTGGGCACTGTTCCTCAGCTCTTCAGCTCAAGGATAGTGTTCTACCACTTGAGCCACAGCGCCGCTTCTGGCTTTTTTCTTTTTGCTTATGTGGTGCTGAGGAATCGAACCCAGGACCTCATGCATGCAAGGTGAGTGCTCTACCACTGAGCTACCTTCCCAGCCCTCCACCTAGATTTCTTGAAACACTGGATTCCAGGATGGAATAATATGTAAAATTGATCCAAGAGTTTTGAATTTGTCAAAATATCCTTTATCTATACACAAAGATACTTCCTGGAACAAAATAGTCTCACCTATCAGACATCCACCTGTCCCCTATGCAAAGTAAGAACTGTAAAGAAACAGTATTGACAGCGGTTGTTTCTGGATGTTACACTACCAGGGACTTGTATTCTACTTCTTTTTACTTCTTTGCACTTTTCAAAATTTCTTCGATGAAATGCACTGCAATCACAACAATTATAAAACAAAGTAGGCACTGGGAAATAAAAGTAAAAAGCATCTGGAAGAGACAAAATACAGCTACCATGCTGAACCTCCTATGGAAAAGAACTAGAATCACAGTGTGTATGGTTATAATGTATCAGTTCTCCATAAGAATGATTTTCTCATGTTTCATACTAAATGAAAGACTTCAAACACCTAATGCATAAAGCTAATCTCTCACATACTGTTTTTTGGAAATCTGGGAACAATTAGAAGATAATTCCACCCTAGTGTACAACTTTTTTCTCTTGGAAACATATTATCTTTGCCTGAAGTCTCTTCTTGGTTTGCCAACAGGTCGAGCAATATCATAATGTCATTTTCCACGGCCCAGAAGGAAGCTTACAAGACTACATAGCATATCAGCTTGCACTCTGCATGAAGGTATTTATTGCTTTCAGACCGTCTCCTTTCCTTTGCAAACTAGAAATCATGTAGAACTAAGTCCTCTGTTTTTTGACCACAGCATAGACAAATGGCTGCAGGATTTGCTTGTGAAATAGTGAGAGCTGAAGTGGATGCTGGTTTCTCCAAGGAGCAGCTCATAGATCTGTTCATCAGTAGCGGTAAGATCACTCCAGTGAACTGAATTTGATTACTCAACGACATGCCCTTCTGTGATATCATTGAAAGAAAATACGTGTCATTTTATTGGATTATTCTTGAATCAGATGAATTTCTCAGTTATTCTAGTAGCCATGAGATGAAAATTGAGAACACAAGTAGCACTTGCAAAAAACCAATTGCTATACCACATCATTTGCATTTTCTTTCTCCCCCCATCTTTTGTATAAACTCTTTAAGTGTCAAGAGCACTTTGTAGCCTGAACCAGTGGAGATGTACCTCACCAACGGAGAGGTAATGGTAAGAGTTCACCCTGGTAGGGATACATATTGCATCTTTCATGTTTTCCAGAACTACTGGTACATGATTACAACCAATTGAAGTTTGTTTTTCAAAAATTCCCTACAACCGATGCAGACCGTATGGCTGCACTTGCCATGAATTGCTTTCTTCTCCCTCAGCATTGATATGAATTGATGGTTAGTACATCACATGTATCATTTAATTAATTTCCACAACAGCTTTATGTAAGTAGTTATCATTGTTCTTATTTCAGAGGTGAAGACCTGGGCACAGAGGGCTTCCCTGATTTACCACTACTGTTATATAGCAAGAGAAAAAGAATTAAACATGTTTATTATATAATTTATCCAGGAGTTCGCTATCTTAGGTTCCAAAGCCTGATTTTTTTAAGCTTTACCACAAGTGGAGTTGGCATAAGCCCCATGGAATAAGCATCACTAAGCACTGTGTGCAACACAGAACTGAAATGGACCAGATTTCAGTGTATAAGAGCTTAAGCTGCAGAGGGAACTAGGGAAGGTAAGGGAGGCAGTTTTAAGATTGTAGGATGATTTGAGACATTGAAATTCTCTTTCAAGTAAAGGGTAGGAATTCTTATCGTCTTTGGAACATAGTATGGAGGCTAGAGGAACTGTAAACTAGATTTAGAAAATAGAAATTACCTTCAGGTCCTCAGATCTCAGCCTCCAGAGTAGGTAGAATTATAGACATGAGCCACCAGCATCCAGCCATGATTTTCTTCTTAATATGTTGTATGTGACAGTATTCTGTCATAAATGTATTATTAGTTAGAGTTGTAATTACTTCACTTTCATATCTCCTAGACAAATACGTTCCTGTTTATTTGCCTATTGCATTGTCAATGGATGTTCTGTCTGGGATCAATTAGGGAATTCGAGGTGACAGATCATCGTATCTTTAACTGTATTAGGAGATGTGCAACAGTCTGCCAGTCTTTACAAGTTCCAGGCAATTTCACAGCATATCCACCATACCATGTCTAACACTTTGTGTGTTCTTTTGATTTTTTTTTTGCCAGTTTACGTAAGTTTTTGTGAAAATTCTTAACCTTAATTTCCTTTCTGGCCACAGCTTGTCTGATCCCAGTGAAACAATCTCCTGTCAAGAAGAAAATCATCATCATTTTAGAGAATTTAGAAAAATCTTCATTATCTGAGTTATTGGGGGACTTTCTGGCACCTCTTGAAAACCGCAGCACCGAAAGCCCGTGTGCTTTTCAGAAAGGTAAAGACAGTGGAGAAAGCAGAAGATGGAGAAGCTTCTTTCTGTGCTACCTTCTCATCTGTTCCCCAGAGTGGTTATACATGGTGTTGCTCTCTATTTAAATTGCATTTGTGCCACAATATTACTTACTGAGCGGGGACCATGGCCTTGTCATTTCAGGAAATGGAGCATCGGAATGTTACTACTTTCATGAGAACTGCTTTTTGTTGGGCACCATTGCCAAGGCTTGTCTGCAGGGCTCGGACCTGCTGGTGCAGCAGCATTTCCGCTGGGTTCAGCTGCGTTGGGACTGTGAGCCCATGCAAGGACTGCTGCACAGGTTCTTACGAAAGAAAGTGGTGACCAAGGTAACCAACAGAACCTTCAGCCTGTTGTCTGGAGAGCAGGGGAGGTTTGAGTGATCTAGAGTTCTAGGTTTCTATGACTATTCAAGGGTTCCCTAAGACATGATGAATGTGGGACTCACAACAATTTCTAGGTGAGAACACTGTAAGTAGATCTTACTGTTATTGTCAGTAAGTAATATTAACATGTACAAGCCATCATAGCTTTTGAATGGTAGTTAAGTACAAGAAAAAGTGAATAGAATCTATTCTTGTTATTTACCGTTCCCAAGGAATCTAAAGATCTAAATGCTTTAGAAAGTTAGCTAGGAAAATGAATCACTATCTTAAGGAAAGTTCACTTAATCCTTAAAGTCTCTGGAGTAATATCCATCTCCTTGGGCAGGGATGCCCCATCTACTGTATTATAGCATCCTGGTCTTTTGAAAAGTTAGAATTCTTTGTCTTTTTATTTTGCCTCAACAAGGAAAAAAATCTTCCTCTGCATAAAAGGGTGCAGGATTTGAAAGCAAGCACCGAATTTTTTTTTATCTTTTGACAGGTGTTCATGAATACTAATAGTTTCTAGAGATTTTCCTCACAAAATAATCAGAAACATATTATTGAATCTCCTATGTAATAATAATGTAATGCTGAAGGAATTTAACACATTAACATTTAACTTAATAATCTAAAATTGGACCACAAGCTGAGTGCCAAGTAGGTTTAAAATAACAGACCCTGGCTAAGTTATTACTTCTCCGTATCTTTTTCTTCTGATAAATAAAATGGGGTAAAAATGCCTACCTCAGACATATGGTAATGACTAAGTGCAAAAAAGTTCTATCACATAAAACCAAGTACATACCCAACAGTATACTACTAAACTTCAAATATCTCAAGTAGAGGTAAAAATCAGATTTGTGTTTAAAGTTTTAAGATTTTACATTTTTAACTTTAAAAGCAAAAGGCAAGCTGCATTGTTCTAAGCCAAATCCCTGTGCTCCACTCCTGTCTCTAGTTCAGAGGTCAGCTTCCCTCACCCTGTGACCCTGTGTGCAAGATTGTCGACTGGGTTCTGTCTGTCTGGCGTCAGCTCAACTCCTGCCTGGCACGCTTGGGCACATCGGAAGCACTCCTGGGACCAAAGTACTTCCTGTCTTGTCCTGTAGTTCCAGGACATGCCCAAGCAACAGTGAAGTAAGTGCTGCATTCTGGTCTTTGCACATTTGGGATGTTTGAGAGTGGAGAATTGGAGCAGACTGCCTGTGACATCTCATATCATTAGCACTGGATGCTGGCCTCCACTCCTGCTATCCTGGAGGCTGACCAGGACATGTCAGTTATATACTTACATCCAAAGCCAGGTATTTTTGCTAATAGCCACGTAGCAGTGTGTCCTGTGTTTAAAAAACAAACAAACAAAAACTAAAGCAGTAATGGATAGTTTTCTGTGCAGTCTTTTTGCAAAATCCCACAAGAGAATTTGCATTATTTTATGCCCATCATCACCCTCATCAATTACCACAGCCCCCTCCCCCAAATAAAAACAGCATTCAACTGAAAAACTGAAAATTTTCATCCTCTACCTGAGGTACTATGTTTTCCTTTGAAGTTAGTTGTGAGATAAAGCTAGTGAATTCAAACAATCAGTAAGAATTGGAAAGGAGATAAAGTTGTTGACAATCCAGTTTAATGAAGATCCTAAAATTAACTACTGAATCAGCTTCTGCACTTTCTGGCACCCTGGCAGAAATACATTTTGGAGAGATGCATATAATCTGTCTTCATTATGGTAAGAAAAACCAACAGTAAATTTAAGAGGAAGGAAAAGCTATTTTATGAAATAGAAACAACATTTTTTGTGCAACAGTACTGGAACTTGAACTTAAGATTAGGAGCTGTCCCATATCCTTTTTGCTCAAATCTTAACAGAATTTCCTGCTCTGGCTGGATTTGAGCTGTGATCCTCAGATCTCAGCCTCCTGCATAGGTAAGATTATAGGCATGAACCACTAGTACCCTGGAGAAATAGTACTTTCTTACCAAAACCCAGAAATACCTTTATTGATTTAATTACTGTTCTTTTTATCAGTGTTATAATTAAGTTTTTGTTTTTTGGTTTTTTGCATCCAGAGTCTCAAGTTTCATAGAAACCAGTTTGAGCCTTTCCCATGTGGAATGGAGTCTTGGATAAGAACTTTGGAGGCTATGAGATTTTTGCCATTTGCTGACCAGTTGTCATCTATAGTTTGCAGTGCTGGGTTAAAAGCCAGAACTTTATCCAAGCATAGCGTGTGTGTGTGTGTGTGTGTGTGTGTGTGTGTGTGTGTGTGTGTGTGTGTGTGTGTGTGTGTGTGTGTGTGTGTGTGTGTGTATGTATTATATGTATGTATTATATATGTGAAGTATATATTTACATATATTTACAGCATATATATATATGTATATATATATATATATATATATATGTATGAAGTCTATATTTACATAGGCTTCTGTTAAGTCCTAAAGGAGACACCTAGGGCTCAAGTAATCTGGGGTTTGCATCATAGTTGTGAACACCCTACCTTAGTCTTCTACAGAGGAATGCTGGCTACTCTGTCCACTCTTTTTCCTGGAAAGAAACTTTACCATTATTTACCTGGTCTGGAAACAAATCCGTCCCCTTGCTTCTGAAGTAGACACTATCTCCTTTCCCAATATTTCACACAAAATGTGCAGAGCTATAATTTTGAGTCTGTATGGTGTGTGGTAGTCTTACTTTGTTTCTTGAATTTTATTTCCCATTGGTCATTAACAGGGAAGCTTAGAATAGATTAATACTTTGGTAGTTTTTAACAACACTTCAAATGTTATACCTTTACTAATAGCTCTGAAAACATTCCTATCTTGGGAAATGTGTTTTTGTTTCTGAAGTCTTTAATCATATATATTAAAACTACTTCTTTTTGTGGTGCTGAGTATTGCACCCAGATCCTTATGCATTAAAACTCTACCACTACCCTATTCCAATATTGTAATAAAGTATACTCTTTTCTTTTTTAATTGAAATTTTTATAAACAGTTGAGTATCATTTAGTATAGTTATTTACAAATTTATAGGCGAATTTTACCTTCCACATGAGGCAAATATGCAATCTTTGTTTCTCTGGGAATGACTTATTTAATATAATTTGTTCAAACTCTTTCCCTTTCTTTACTGTGTCATATCTTTTTTGCTCAAATCTCACAGAATTTCCTGCCCTGACTAGATTTGAGCTGTGATCCTCAGATCTCAGCCTCTTGCATAGATAAGATTATAGGCATGAGTATATGGCACAGTATGATTCTTTCTAATGGAAGAGAAAATTCCATTGTGTATATTTACCACGTTGTCTTGATCCATTTGTCCAATGAGGGACATCTGGGATGATTGCATACCTTGCCTATGATGAAATGTACTGTAAGGAACATGGTTATACTGACGGCTTTATTGTATCCTGGTTTATAATCTTTTGGATAAATGCCCAGAAGCGGAATTGCTAGATCAGAGTGTAGCTCTATGTTCATTTTTTAAGGAACTCCACACTGCTTTACAGAGTGGTTGAATAAGCATACATTCCCGCAAGCAGTGTATTAGGGTTCCCTTTTGGCCAAATCTTCACCACCATCTGTTATTTCTTTGTTTTTTTTTCTTTTGATAATGGATATTCTAACTGAGGTAAGTTTTAATCTCAGTGTTGAGATTTGCATCTCCTTTTTAGCCAGAAATGTTGAGCATTTTTTCATTTTCCTATAGGTCATTTTTATTTCTTCTTCTAAGAAGACTCTTTTTAGCTCATTAGCTTGTTTATTAATTATGTTGTTGGTTCTTTGAGAATTTAATATTTTTAAGTTCTCCGTGTATTCTGGATATTAGGCCATTGTCTAAGGTATAGTTGGGAAAAAAATCTTCTGTAGGCTGCCTTTTTAGCTTGTTGGGGAGGCCTTTGCCATGCAGAAACATTAGTTTGGTAAATTCCATTTCTCCCATTTTGATTTTTTGTGCTTCTAAGAATATTTTTATGTTTTTACCTGTGCCAGAGTCCTAATGTCTCTCTTACTTCTTTTTGTAATAGTCTCATGGCTTAAGATTTTGATCCATTTTGATATGATGCTGATACAAGTTAATAGATAAGGATGTAGTTTCAGTTTTTGCATGTGTATATTGTTTCCCAGCACCATTTGTTGAAGAGGCTTATCTTTCTTCCAGCCTATATTTTTGGCTCCCTTATCAAATTATAGATGGCAGTAGACCTGTGGATTTCTTTCTGGGTCTTCAATTCTGTTCCATTGGTCTTGGTCCTGTTTTGTGCCAGTAATGTAGCTCTGTAGAAGGGTTTGAAGTTTGATCTTTGTATACCTTCAGCACTACTTTTGCTGCTCATGATTGCTTTTGTGAATCAGGGACATATGAACTTTTTTATTGTTTTCTCTCTCATTGAAGAATGGGCATTGCATGTAGATATCTTTGGGCAGTACTGCCATGTTCAAGATACTAATTCTGCCAATCCAGAAAATGGAAGGTCTTTCCACTTCCTTAAGTCTTCCTCAGTTTCCTTTTTCAAATTTTCATAGTTTTCACTGTAGAGGTCCTCCATAAAAGTATGATCTTTTCTTAAAGGAACTTTAATTGTCATTGAGTGTTCCAAATTTGTGTTACAGTCCCATGGCTTTCAGTTGCTAATTCAGTGCACCTTAAGCAATAGTCTGATCCCCTTTTGCAGAGTTGAACCTACTCCTACACACGTGAGCCTTGCCTTGGGACAGATTTAATTTGCCAGATATATAACTTAACTTCAGAAATAATAAATGACATGCATGTGTCTTCCTAAAGAAATGAGATAAATGTGTATAAAATATTTAAATGTGGATTTATGGAAATCTTACTTTTTTCTAGACTCCTGTCTTTTATTTATTTACCTTTCTTTCCATATTTGTAATTATGCATTTATTTGTTCTGGAAATATTTATAAGCATTGATTCCATTGTCAAGAGAGATACGCAAACCATTAGCTTCATTTGAAATAATATTGATCTTGAGACAAATTCAAACTAGAAGTAGCCTACTTAAAACACACACACACACACATACTTTGCCCTTGGTCTTCAGACTTGTCACTTTGTAGAGTTATGTGGCATTCCTAAGAGACCTGCTTCTGATGGTGAATTGCCCCTCTCTTGCAAGGTGGATGTCTAAGCTGTGGAATGCCGTGATTGCACCCAGAGTTCAGGACGCAATACTGTCGAGAGCCTGTGTGAAGAGACAGCCTGGTCCTGTGCAGGCAGCTGCTAAAAAGCACCCTAGCCAAGGCCAGCAGGCCGTGGTTAAAGCCGCACTCAGCATCTTGCTCAATAAAGCTGTTCTGCACGGCTGTCCCCTCCCAAGAGCAGGTACGTGGGTTCATGCATGAAGAGAGGAATTCACACCCTTATGTAACACTCCATGGAATTTGTTCTTAGGGAGTTCTCTTGCATCTCTAGAGAAATTAATGAACATTTCACAACATTGCTCCAGAACTCACTCTCAGCTTTTCATTACTGACTCATGTTTGGATTCTGACCTCTACATAAGGTTTACACCAGTTCACGAAACCACAGCCTGGATATCAAGCTTTTATTTATTTATATTTTAGTTCATTTCTCTGCAAAGTGGAAATGTATTTCTCTCTAGTCTATGAAGCAGCATTAATCTCTCCATTCTGGGTAAAATGTGATCTGTGTTGTTTCAGAGCTAGAGCAGCATACAGCTGACTTCAAAGGAGGAAATTTCCCTTTATCCATTGTTTCAAGTTACAGCAAAAAGAAAGGAGAGAGCGGGGCTTGGAGAAAGGTGAACACCAGCCCTCGCAAGAAGCCAGGCCGTTTCCCTTCACCTACCTGGAGCAAGCCGGACCTGAGCCAGGAAGGTAAAGGGATGGGTGCTCCAATCCAATTTCTGAATGCAGGTGGGCTTTTATTTTTATCATAAAAGGAGTTGTTCAATACATGTTTTCATGGAATAAACTCTGATATTCCCAAACAATGTTTATGTATTTTTCAAAAAATGCTTAGGAACCCTAGATCTAAAGACATACTATTTTCATACTAGACTTCCAAAATTAAATTTATCTTTGCCTTGTTTTTTTAAATTAACTTGTTTTTTAAGTTTTTTATGTCCATGATCAAATTTATGGAGTTAAATCATTGTGCCTTGGCATAGTTCACTCCTTATACATTATTTCAAAGCGTTTTATTTTTTATTTTTGTCTGATACCAATAAAAAAGACCTGTATCATTGAATCAGCACAAAGGATGTCTATAATAGGTATTCCTTAAGATGCAGGCTACTGTAGAAGCTCATAACGTTTGGCATAGACATAGCCCATTCTCTTTTTACCTGAAGCAGGAAGGCCAATGATTTTGAATCTCTAGCTTCCTAGGGTAGGGCCAAGCTTAGCTGCTTAGCTAGTAAGTAAAGGGAAGTTAATAGTTTTTGCTTCCAGACAATGTGGGGGAAAAGTATGGGTAGAGAAACTGGCACAGCCGTGGTCTTTAGTGAGCAGTTTTTAATAAGGTTATATTGGATTCAATTCCCTTTACAAAAACTGATTTCTTACCTTTTCAAGAACTTTTTTTTTGTGTGAGAATACCGTACAGAGGAGTTACAATTACATGGGCAAGATAACGAGTACATTTCTTATCAAGCATTGTTGCCTCCTCTTTGTTTCCCCTTCCCATCCCTTCCCATACTCCCCGCACCCCCCCCACCAAAGTTATAAAGTTCGTTTTTCGACATAACGACTTGTACATCTCATTGTTGCAATGGGCCCACCTGTATCCCACCTGTTTTTTCCCTTCCCCTCCACAAATTATACCAACATCAAATACAGTGAAAGCAGGGTTTATACCGTGGGGGAGGGACATATAAAGCAACAAAGAAATCATCTGATAAATGTGTTAGAAACAATTGCATGAAAGGAAAAAAAAAAAAAAATTGAATACTTATCTTGGGATTCATTCCCCTAACATCAACTTATCTGATCTTTTCTGCTTCACTCAGACATATACTAGTTACTGCAAATAAGGGAAACAATGGGACCTGTGTTTCTTTGGGCCTGGCTTACTTCACTTAATATAATTTTTCCATGTCTTTCCATTTCCTAACGAATGGAACTTTTTATAATGCTGAGGATTAAACCCAAGACCTAGAGCAGTCTCAGCAAGCACTGTACCACTGAGCTACTTCTCAAACCTGAAACCATTCTTTGGGGGAAATTTGTACCAGCCATATGAATACAGTTTTAGAATTTGCTCAGAAGTAATTGAATGTTTATTGTGTTCTTAAAGTTTGAAGTATGTATTATAGAAACATTTTTTGAGTCAGTGGCTTAACCAGGTTTCTTGTGCCTTTTTGAGTATAAGCTAGTGACAAATATCTGGTGTATGGACTAATATACACACATCTGTGTACCTGGTTGAGTATATATAACTGATGTATATCAATATAATTGTTAAAATGATATTGCCTGATATTTCCTATTTCCTTTTTCTTAAGTGGATCACAATTTGCAGTTTGAAAAATTTTGCTATAATTTCTGTGGCCCTTTAATACTGTTCATATTCTCTCTCTCTCTCTCTCTCCACCTCCCTCCATCCACCCACCCTCTCTTTTTTCTTTATTTTTCCAGTACTTGGGTTTAAACTAGAGCATCATACTTGTGCTTAGCCAGCATTCTACTATTTCAAGCACACTTCCAGCCAACCTTTGCCTACTGTATTTTAGAGATGGAGTCTTGTTGATTTTTCTTCCCAGGCTGGCTTTGAGTCACAGTTCTCTGGACATCAGTCTCCTGAGTAGTTACAAGTCGTTATGTGGAAAAACGAACTTTACAACTTTAGTGGAGGGGGGAGGAGGATTGGGGGGGAGGAGATAGGAAGGGATGGGAAGGGGAAACAAAGGAGGAGGCTACAATGCTTGATAAGAAATGTACTCATTATCTTGCCCATGTAATAGTAACCCCTCTGTACAGTATTTTCACAATAAAAAAGATCATAAACATAGCCACAAACACCTAACATTTCGTATTTAACAGGTCCACACCTCAAAAACTATACTTGATTCCAGAGCAAGTGGTGTTGGGAGGCAAGAAAGGTAGAAAAAGAGATGTTTAGGGCATCAAAAGTCAGGCACTAAATTCCTTTTGAGGTATTTTGAGAATAAAGACCTAAATAGGTCAACTATTGAGAAGAGGAATCATTGGTAGAAGTAAAAGGTTAGGGCTCCAAGATTAACCTTACGCAGTGTTATTTTCCTAAGTTCATCATAAATGTACATAAGGAAGTTAATCCCTCTCCTCACTGTACCAGTGTTAGATTCTTGCTAGAGCCATGGTCCTGAGAACCACCTTATCAAATAGATGTTAATTCAAGATCAGCATAAAAGTATTGCAGTGTTGAATCTTTAAAATACATAGTTTAAGATACACCATGACAGTGATCCGTTTTATTGAAAAGTCTGTTTTTAACAGGTATTAAAAATAAGACCACACCACAGCTGAATTGCAACCGGAACACTTCTCTGTCAAAGCAAAAGTAAGTTCCTCTTTTAAAATTTAATTTATAACAAACAGTAAAGATAAATCAAATGACTTACTATGTCAAACATTTCATATTTTTCTTACATTTGTTTATGCCATATTATGTTGTTAAGACTTTTTTTTTTAAGCACAATTTGAAATCTAAAGGATGATTTGGTTATTCATAGAGTATAAATGTTTGGGCACTGCCAATTTGTTCCATAGTAGCCTCATGCATCCTCCTATAACCCATCACTTGGCCAGTAATATTTATGTCCCCTTTCCCTGGTGTTCAGCATTACAGAAGAGGGGAAGGGAAGAAGAAAAGGGGGGTGAGGGATAAAGGAAACTTCATGAATGTTACTTTCTGCCAGGTTTACTGATCAATCTGTTGCATACCATAGCCTAGATAATTTCTAAAATAACCTTGAGATATACAGGTAAAGATTCTCCATGGAGAAATGAACCTAGGTAAAAAGAACAATCTGACCTATGGCCATAAGCTAATAATAGGATACATCTAAGTTTGAAATTGGCACAGTGTTCCATGTGCTTTATGTCTGTTTTATCTGGCTTGAGACAAAGAAAAAAGAAGGGAGGAGAAAGGAATTTCAAGTAATATATGTCCAAATAAATTTCTCTATGGAATAAAATTTTATCCAGTAAGAATTTTCAGTGTGATTTAGCAAAATCCTGGGGTGATTTATTAATAATGTTCTCATTTCTTGGTGTGAACTTGGTTACTTTATTAAATGACATTTATGAAATACTTGAAAACAGTATTAAATTTTTACTGTCCCATACCAAATGCAAAGAAGGGGAAACGTATAGCTGTCTAGATTTCCATCTTGGAAATGGGATTGTTACTCTCCCTTTAAAAACTCTTTTCTGGGGCTAGGAAGGTGGCTCAGTGGTAGAACGCTTGCCTTGCATGCACGAGGCCCTAGGTTCGATTCCTCAGCACCATATAAGCAAAAAGAACAAAGCCAGAAGCAGCACTGTGGCTCAAGTGGTAGAGCACTAGCCTTAAACTGAAGAGCTGAGGAACAGCACCCAGGCCCAGAGTTCAGGCCTCACGACCGGACCCAGAAAAATTTTTAAAAAATAAATAAATAAAAACTCTTTTCTGAACTTTGTGTTGGACTGAAGAGCATGATCACTCATTGTTACTGATTTTGCACGACAGATTCTCTCTAGGTTCAGATGATGAAGCAGATCTTGTCAAGGAACTTCAGAGTATGTGCTCTAGCAAATCGGAATCTGACATAAGCAAGGTGAGCCGGACACATGGCGAACACAGTATCTCACTTCACCCTGCACAGACTTAACATTTATGTAGGTGATGACACTTCAGGTCTTTTGAAGTTAAAATTGTGTTGACTGCATTAGCATACCACACTGACATATTTGGACAGCCTTCTTTCTTTGTTTATGTGGTGCTGGGATGGGACTTGGGGTCTTACATATGCTAGGCAAGTATTCTATCACTGAATGCTACCCAGTCCTTGTTTTGTTGGTTGTTTTGTGTGTTGTTTTTGTTGGTTGTGGGGCTTGAACTCTGGGCCTGTGTGCTGTTCCCTCAGCTCTTCAGCTCAAGGAAAGCACTCTACCACTTGAGCCACAGCACCACTTCTGGTTTTCTGGTGGTTTATTGGAGATAAGAGTCTCATGGACTTTCCTGCCCGGGCTGGTTTTGAACCACAATCCTCAGATCTCAGCCTCCTGAGATGCTAGGATTACAGGCGTGAGCCACCGGCACCTGGCTTTGTTTTGTTTGTGAGACAGAGGTCTTGGTATGTAGCTCAGGCTATCCTTGAATTCCTGATCCTCCATCCTATCCATGGTTTCCCATAGTAGCTTTTAGTAGAAGGCTAAAGTTGAGTTTCCTCACACTCTACCACTTGAGCCACAATGTTTACTGTGAGTAATTGGAGATAAGTCTCACAGACTTTACTGTCCAAGCTGGCTTCAAACTGTGATCCTCAGATCTCAGTCTCCTGAGTAGCTAGGGTTACAGGTGTGAGCCACCAGTGCCCGGCGCCTCACACTTTCCTTATTATTAGCTTTGGCATGTGACTATCAGCATGAGAGAACTGTAGCCAGCTTTGTGCCAGCTCAGGTTATAGATTGAGCAACAACACCTTTCTCTATAAATAAGAAAAAGAATGAGCCTATATAATGCACATTGTCATGGTGTTTAAGCTGTGAAATTTGAGATCCAAATATGGAAACCAGTGACCCAAAATCTCAAAAGAAAACATTAATAGCATCAAGTTTAACCTGTTTCAGCACTCAGCTATCTACAGCAAGTTTGACCAGACTTTCTTACACCTGGAAGGGAGGGATGTAGAGAGATAGTCACAGCCTGCACAGGTTCCCCTGAAAGATTGTTAGACCCAAATACTTATAGTCACTAAAACAAAGTAGAATTGACCGCTTACTTTAACCTTTCTGCAAGTGAACTGAAATTCTTAGAAGAGAAAAGGTAATGATTAAAATTATGCACATTGTATATCCTAGCTTTACTTGCCAAGTAACTTATTCTTTTTGTTCCTGGATAGTTCTTTTGTTGTTTTTTAGACTTTTTAAAAAATATACTCTCTTCCCTTATTTGTAAGGTAAGAAAAGACTTCAAGTCTCTCCTGTGAGCAGTGCAGGTTTGGGCAGTTTACACATACTCTTTGCTTAGTGGGTTTTCCACTCTAGATGTGTTCTGAGTGTGGTGCAGTATAGTTCCAGAGACCCAACTTGGTACATTGTATATTTTCCAGATTGCTGATTCTAGGGATGACTTAAGGAGTTTTGACAAATCAGCAAACAGTCCTGCGTTTTCAGCACCTGTTAATAATCCAAGCACGCCAGTGTCACAAAAGGTAAGTGTCCCTTTGTGTCTTTGTCTCCAAAATGGGACAAAGAAGGTTGGTTATAAAATTAATTTCACAAATCTTTCAGTAGGAATCATGAAGGTTTTTGCTTTGTTTTGAGGGTGACTTCTTTGGTGGCAGTAGGGTTTGAAATCAGGGCCTTGCACTTCCTAAGCAGGTGCTCTTCCTCTGAGCCAGGCCGGTGGCTCTCTTGTGTACTGATTATTAGGAGATAGGGTCTTGCTCCTTTTTTGTGGCCAGGCAGGTACTCGAATGCCAGTTCACCTCTTTCTACACTTCCTCTCGTAGCTGAGATGACAGACATATGCCACCATGCCCACCTTATTCATAGAGATGGAATATTGTGGAATTTACCTCCCGATCCTAACCTCCCATGTGATGGGCATGTGCCACTGTTCCTGGCTATTGGTAGAGAGGGGGTCTCCCACCTGGGTGCCCAAACTGCACTCAGATTGCTCTCCTCCTGATACCAGCTTTCCAAGTAACTAGGATTACAGATGTGAACCACTGGTGCCCAGCAAATTGCAAAATGATTTTTGAACCACATCAATGAAATCCATGAGAAATAAAGCTAAAATTGCTCATTAATAAGGATTAGAAAGATTGTTATTTAGATAACATTGAAATAATGAAATACATGTTTTTTTCTTTCTATTTAATGGATTTGTTTTCTATGTAATAGTTTAATTTTATTTCAAACTTGGAGATGTCTTTTGGGGAGGTCTCTCTTTGCTTTGATTCTTACATGCCCAAAAGACAAATAGTGTTAAATTCTTTCATCTTAGTTTAAAATATTTTTTTGGAATTTCTAAGATAGAGTGAACTTTGGAAAATTCATAGCAGAAGGCTTGAATAATAATAAGATGTTGCATTTTTTCCTGAATATCCTAAACTCCCAGAATGTGTGATACAACTCAGTGAAAGACTTTGTTTTAAAGACAAATCAGAAAGGCAAGCAGGAGAGCCAAGAGTCGAGCAGATTCTATTAACCTTCAAAATTGCTTTCATGTCTGCAGCACCGGAGCATTGTCAATTGGTTAATAAATGGCAAGAGACGGCATGGCATGGTGTTCCTGAGGGAACAAAAAAGAGTGACATGGCTTCTCACTGCCCATTATTCGGTGAGGATGCAGATTTTAAAGAGGCTCTGGGTGATATGTGATTTGTTCACCCAGCCGTGTCGATTACCCTGCACATCCTGTGCTCAGTCACTCCCGTGGCATCTTCCGAAGACGTGTGCACATGGTGTGAGGCAGTGGGGTGGAAGGGGCAGGATTATAAAGTAATCATGGTGTGACTATTAAATTATTCATCTCTATCTCCCCGCACCTGCTATCTTGATGCTCATTAGACTTCAGTTTGAGTCAATTATATGTGAAACCGTGGGAACTGAGCACGTTGAAGGAAGAAAGCTATAGGAGGGATTTTTTAGGGCTAAGGTCTCTAATCAAACTCATAACATGGTGAGCAGGGAAGAAAGCCATGACCTCCAGGCTCATTGTATCATGTTTCCCTTCACCGTCCCAAACTGGGGAGAAATTAGAAGCACACCACAATTTAAAGAACACTAAAGGAAGAATAACCTCCAGAAAGTGACCTGCAGTCATCACTGAACATTTTTGTCCAAAAATGCTTTTCTCAGAGGCTGGCCCTTTGCCATCTTTAAAGCTTCAGTTCTCATCTATATATGGGTTACCTGATCTGGACTTTGGTTGATTAGCAACCAGAGCACAATGTGTTGGTCCCCTAGAACCATTTTCTTGTGGAAGCAGAGATCTGGGAATAGTGGACAAATGAGCTTTAAAGACAAATTTCTCTTTGTGTTATCTGGACTCTTAAAAGCTATGGTTGTTTAAAGGAGCAGGTTGAGATGGGTGTTAGGACAGCCACCCACTTGCCCCCTTTCTCCCAACTGAAGATGTTCTTCTCAGGACTTGCCAGCAGAGGGCAAAGTACTACTTATTTACAAGCTTGCTTTCTGCAAGCCATCAGGCTCTCTCCTTTTCTATCCTCCTGATAACTAGCATTTCTTGGTTCCATGCCCAGTTTCTTTTGATTTCAGGAAATAACCTTTTTATAAGTAAGAGCACTCTTGTTATTTGAAATAACCTTATCCTTCACAACTAGAAGGCCAGAGTGCCTTCCTTAGCTAGGGTCAGCAGCCATCACTCTCCACCCTCTCCATGACCACATCTTCTTCATCCAGTGTGACTCTTGACTGCCCTAACTGTGAGAGACTATAATTGAGTTTATTAACACAGAGCATAGTCAACTTGTTTAATAAATGCTTTCGTCTTATGTACATGAAAATGGATATATTAAATTAAAGCCAAAGGTTTTAATTTTATTCTCAAGGTGATTTAAAAAAAAAAAAAAAAAAACCTCCAATGCCTGGACCCTGCCCAGTAGATTTTTATGTGCCTGGTCTGAGGTGCAACCTAGACCTAGGGCTTCCCTTTAACCTCTGCCCTGTCCCCTGTTATTTTTCTTTTTCTTTTGTTCTCTTCTTTCTCTTCTTTTTCAGGAGAAGCAAAGCTTGTTAGGACAGTATTAAAGGAGCTCTTGCTGTTATCCTGTATGAACTGGCAACAGGTTTTTATGGGGTTAGTGGGAAATTTGTTGATTGGCTGTCTCCCTTTTGTGAGTCCTATTTACAGGTTTTCTCTTCCACGTAGACTATGGTTTGAACTTCGAGTGCATGGGAGCAACTTGAGCACTCAGTTTTTACATCTGCATTCCATCTGGCCCATTTCCCAATCTTGGCTCATTTTTGCATTCCATTTGACCCATTTCCTGTTCTTGGCTTACCTTCACATTCCACCTGGTCCTTCATGTTTCTCTGTCCACAATATGCCCATAAAATAAAGCTTTCTACACCCACACATACACAAATAAGCACGCACATAATATGTCCATGCACCCACCCCACAAAAGAACAAAACCAATTTTAGTGTGAATGGGGTGAACATGTGATCTTCTTTTAACTGTTTCAAGCTAGGTAGGGTTGTAGTGATGTCACTGCTTATGCACTTGGGGCTCTGACAAAGGATTATGGACCCTGACTATTGGTGATGATGCACAGCCAGGAATTTGGGACCCACTATGAAATGAAGCTGTAATCTGTCAACCTCTTTATTTCCCAGCCCCTTTCTTTCTTTCCAAATGAGTCCTTATAGCAGTGGATACATAACTTTCTACACAACGTTTCACATGTCATATACTCTTCCCACAGCGCTTTGTGCATTTTCTCACTGCTATCTTTTCATCATTCCTTGACCCCCGCACCCAGTCTCCCCTTCACCTGTATAAGGACTGATCACTGTACCTATTTTCTTTTTTTCCTATCTCATCTAGAGAGATAATAGCATTCAGTATTGAATAAGTAAATTGCTGTAATTTAACAATAATTCTACAAGGCTAAATAATGAAAGACTATTTTAGGGCAGTGCCTTTCTGTGTAGTTTTCCGTTGCAGCTAACGTACATGACAACATTTTCAGTAAACGTATATGCTTAATGCATGTTAGTGCCTAAGAAGCATTAAGCACCCTTAACTCTCTCAGTCTCTGGATCTTTGGGGAAGAGGCCTGGGAGCCGGGCTTGGCTGCCAGGAAGTGCCAGGGCCATTTCTGTTTCATGCAGCACACTCGGCCCAGTACTTTCTCTGTTCTTGTATGCTCAGCCTTGAATAGCTCTGGCCTGAGAGCTAACCCATGTTCTCACCCACCTCGTCACACTCTGCCCTCTCACACCTATAGAGGCCGACTCAACCGAGATACCCATAGTTTTAGCTCTTGTGGGTACTCGTTGGTATTGTTATTATGTGGACATTTCCCTGCCTATCAAGTGATAGAGTAGGAAAGAGCATCCTGTGAGTCTCCCATCCTCCCCTGAACCTTAGTGCTAACCTTGTGGGAGTCAACAATAATGATAAAATTACAGATTTTTTTCATTTTTTAAGACACTCTCTTTTTAGTTGTTTGAGAATGAAACCCTGGACCTTGTACATGCCAGGCAGATGTTCTACCTCTGAGCTGAAACCCCCACCCCACAGTGTAGTCTGCATGTGTCAAATTTGCTGGTGTTTTAGATCAAAGTACATTTGAAGTTGGCTTATAAGGCCTTTAGGTAAGTTCCATTTTACAGACATAGAGTCATTTCTTACAAGGAAAAATGAAGTTGGATTGGTGCCTGTATTGTTTTCACAATTACATATTAGTATGTGACTCTTTAACCTTTTGACTTGCCACAAACAAAAACAATAGTTATCTCTCACTTTCTTTCTGGCAACTTGAAAGGATTAGCTTCTTTTAAACAAAAGAAGAATATGCTTACTGAGTGTCATTTTCCACTTCACCCTTTTACCTACCATAAAATACAAATGGAGGTGACAAGGATCCATAGGTATTTATGTATCCTTTTTTCTTCTGCTTCCTTGAATATAGTCAGTTGCAGCATAATATAGCTGTTTTGTGATTCTCTGTAGAAGCAACTTTTGTCCAAACTATACTTTTACAGCTTGGCCTTCTTTCTTTCCTTTTCCCTGCAAATCGGTCTGCTCTGGATCCCATATCCATCCCTCTTTATTTTTAACTCATTATAAACTTGATGTTGGGGGAAAATAAGAGTGATCTATTTTCTAGACAAAAGGTATTTTTAGCGTTGTCCAGCTATCCGACCAATTTAGGATTATAGCTGATTCTAAAGATCTGGGGCCAGTAGATTTTTTTTAGTGATTAAGAGATGCTTTAATGGACACCTGCTGAGTTTCAAAGAATTATTTAAAGAATTATTAAATGCTTAGTGGACTTTAATAGATAGAAATGGAGGGAGGGGGGAGTTTAGAGCTTAGTGACAGGCCCAGGAGTTTGAGCCTTCGTTAGATAGCAAGGTCGTAAATCATACCTTTCTTCACTGTTCACACCATACAGCCATAATTCTCTGCTCATTTTTTCAGGCAACATTGGGTCAGGAAGACAGAGAGAGAGGCAGTTATTAAAGATGATTGAGGTTTCCTGCTCAACTGAGAGAACAGGATTGACCAGAAATGAGCCAAGAGGAAGGCTTAGTGAAATTGATGAAGTATATACTGGAAATTGGGATGAATTATGTTGACTAGTGGGTAGAAATCCAATTCTCAAGCTCCAAGATTAACAACGGCTACAGGTAGAATTCTGGGAACCTTTTGATGTTGATAGTTGAGACACAGAATGGGTAAGAGAAAGATGACCACTTGTGTGAACAGAGAGGGCTGAGAACTGCTCTCTATCTATTCAGTCAGTTGAGCAAATGCATGGTGGAGTTAAGGTTGGGGTTCTCAGTTATGGCTGTATGTCAGACTCATATAACATGAACATGCCACATATAGACCAGTTAAACCTAAATGTTTGTGGATCAGCCAGTCTTCCATTCCCAGTTGACTCTAGTGTTGTGGTCAATATTAAGGTCATCAGATTTCAGAGGCCTGGAAGAATGCAGCTAACAATTTCCATGAAAAGTCATATTAAGGATTTTGCCCATTACATTGTTTGGTACTGTTTGGTTGTATTCATTATTACTAGCCAAAATGGAAAATAATCAACACCTCAGAGGTAAACAGAGCAGTTCACTGAGGAGGCCTCTTAACCCATTTGCAGACCATCATGCAAAACACTGTGAGGCTGAGTGGGGAAATCTGAGTTTTTGTCCCAGTTTCCTCTCTCTGACTAAGGTAAGAGGACTAAATTATCTTACCTCTCCATTTCTCAGATTCCTCTGAACAGAAGTGGGAGCCATTGTGATCCAGAGGATAGTGAAACACTCAATAAACTTAAAACGATAGTATGTAATTTCCCAGTATGGAAACTTTGGAGTCATAGAGTTGCTAGGTAGGAGCATTTCTTCACTAGCATGTAAGCTCCAGTAGGGTAGGGAAGTATCTTTCAAGTTTTCCACTAAAATATACTTACCTTGTTCAAAATACTCAGAAAGTATTGTTGAAATGCTGAAAAGTGACTGGTCCAAGTTAACTTGACAAACTGCCTAGAGATGGTTGGCGTGTTAGCTTTCTGTCACTATAACAAATACTCTTGGAAAGGAGGAATGATTGAAGTCATGGTTTCAGTTCACAGTTGGCTGGCTCTATTGTTTCTGGGCCCATGGTTAAGGCACAGCATCATGGTAGAAAGGCAGCCTAGAATTGAGCTGTTCATCTCATTTTTGGTAGTCTCCAAGATAGAGCCTCCAATAACACACCCAATGACCTACTTTCTCTAACAAGGCTCTCCCTTAAAAGATGCCATCACATGAAATTGTGAATCTCTCAGTGAATTGATGAGGTCAGAGCCAATCATGATCCAGTTACTTTTCCCTGATTGGATCAACCAACTAAAGACAAAGCCTTCCACATGTGAGCCTGTTGAGAGGGAGTCTTCATATGCAAATACTAATACATCAAATTTAGTAATTCCCTCAATCCTAGTTTTTTGCACTGTTTTTGTGGGTAAAGGGATTCTAGATTCATTAACACTTGATTCACCACCATCTTTATTCAGGAGACTCAGGAAAATCAAGCAGTAGATTGACTGGAATTTGTTACTTTTTTCTTTAATTCTTCCTGAATAAAATGTCTGTATAGGAGAAACTCCCATGTTTCCTCAGAGAAAGAATGAGGACTGATCATAGGAGTTGAGAGCAGTAGTGAATATATTCGCTTTCTCTTCTCCTACAGGAGGCAAGTCCTCGCAGCAGCCATCAAACTACCGAATGCAGCAACAGTAAATCAAAGACTGAGTTGGGTGTCTCGAGAGTTAAATCTTTTCTTCCTGTTCCTAGAAGTAAAATTGCCCAGTGTTCCCAGAACACTAAAAGAAGCAGCAGCAGCAGTAATACAAGGCAACTAGAAATCAACAACAATTCCAAAGAAGAGAATTGGAACCTACACAAACATGAACCAGTAGAAAAACCTAACAAATAGGCCTGCCTACAAGATTCTCACTAGTAACTTCTCTGTATATTTTACACAGAAACCAAGGGCAACAAAGTGTAAATACCTTCAAATGAATAAAATGTTTCACTGTAATATAAAGTATGAGTGCGGGACCACTATTCAAACTTTTGTAAAGAATGTATTTATAACCCAACATTTTTTACTTCTATAGGACTGAACTTAAAAGTTACGGCAACTTTTTAAGTAGTTTTATAATAGAAACATTGTAATAGTTTTAAGCTAATATGTTCAGGGGTATTAAAATATAACCATCTGTGTACTGTATATCACTATGTGTACATATGTACATATGTATGTATATTTAAGGAAGTCCACAAATCATATTACAAACATGTTATAAAATGGATAAAACATTGGCTTAGATAACACATACCACCTACAATGGTGGTCATCATTTTATGTTCCCCCGATGGGGAATGACTAGAATGGGGCAATAACCAATCATTTCTAAACTTTTTTTTTCATTAAAAGCCATATTAAATATTTTGCCTGTTATATTCTAGTTTTACATTTTGGATCTTTTAGTAGTTACATTGCCATTTGGTTGCATTTGGGGTATGTGTGTGTGTGTGTGTGTGTGTGTGTGTGTGTGTGTGTGTGTGTGTGTGTGTGTGTGCGCGCGCGCGCGCGCGCGCGTGTGCCTATGGGTTTGCATTATGACTCTTGTAAAATACGAAATTATAATGCAATAAAAGTGTTATCTTTCTTACAGAAGTTTTGCATCTCCGTGCATATTAAAAAATACCTGCATAAAGACTTCAATAAATTCAGAGTTAACTCCCTCTTCACTGTTATTTCCAGTGGCACCACTTCTAGTAAAATTGGCATTTTCTGGAAGTGTTTATTCTAAAACTAATGATGAAATCACTTATTCAACACAATTAAGATTTTTTACTGGGTTAGTAAAATAATTTTATTCTACTTTGTATGGCTCTTAGTAGTTCATCTATATAATAGATAATTTATATCCTCCCCACCGCTATATTCCAGATAGTCTCACAAAACTTTGTGCTTATTAGAAATGTTTTCTTTTTCAGAAGTTTTTAGATAATGAAATTAAAAAAAAGACAACCAGGTGCCAGTGGCTCATACCTGTAATCTTAGTACTCAGGAGAGTACTAGGAATACTAGAGTACTAGAGTACTCAAATTCACAGGTCTAAGGTTTGAAATCAGTACTGAAAGAAATATTTACTATGTTCCATATCCAAAACCTCCAGTAAGAAACAGAGCTAGAGCTATGGCACTGGCCAAGAAAGGCAGTAGAATAAATGCAAAAACATGAGTTCAACCCCCTGTATCACTAAAAGAAAAGGACTTAAGTGATGCTCCAGCAATAAAACACCCATCTTCTCCATAAATAACAAAAGAATAAGGAGCTTTTTGTAGTCTGTGGGTATTTAAATCTCTCACGGGGCAAGGTACATACTGAATGAAACCACAAAAATTTCTGCAAATATCAAAAAATATGAGCAGCAAAGATGTCACATAGGGTAAAAGATCCTTCCCATGATGTCCACACACAGCAGTCTTCCTCACTACAAGGCAAATCCTGGAGGAGGGGTATAGCTCCAGTCCCAGGCCGCAGGAAAGTGTCTAGTGGGCTGGAAGAATTAGAGCAAGGGGCACAGGTGCAGCAGAGTGAAATGGAAACAGGCTTAGGGTTGAACATAGTTGGACAAATATCTACTCTTCAGAAAGAACAAAACTGCAATCAAAGTTCAAGATGCAACATTCAGATTCAGTTGCTTTCTGCCTTTTTCTCCTGCTTAATTGCAAGCACTTAGATTCTGAGTTGTTTGTAATAAACATTGTTTCTATAGGCAGCTTTTCTAAAATTAAGTATACATTAGCACAGCCAAGGATCAAAGTTGAGAAAATAGAACCAACTTTGGAAAGCACAGTTGTGATGCCCTTTTATAGTAACTGATCTATGCAGCTTTGATTTGTCAGTAAACGTCGACTTGTGTACTTATTATAACGGGATGGTAGGTAGCAAGACATCTGCAAGGTGCATTTATATCAAGAGTTTTTAAACAGGTGCTGAACTATCACTGCATGATTATGTCAATTTAGTGAGTCATAACTGTCACATAAAAAGTAGAACAGTATAGAATAGAACATGTCAAACTTCCCACTGTCGATAAAGAACTATTTGTGAAGTTTCTGTTTCCATTGTGTAAATACACCGATGTATCTCCAGCTGATTAATGATGTAACTGTGGGTCATGGCCAAAAGTATTGATTGTCAAACCCATGTAGCAGAACCTCTGAGCTTTGACTTTGTCTTTCTAAGACTTTGTCTTTCTATTTGATTTCTCCCTTGACTCATCACATTTCAGTGAATATATTTGTAAACACGTGCATATCATCCAATGTATTTACCTACAGGTTTATAGGCAAGTTCTAGCAGCTTCCACATGTGAGGGAAGCATTCAGTCTTTGTCTCTCTAGGCCTGACTTATTTAATATAATTTGTTCCACGATGTTCCCATTCTTTGCAAATTGCACAATATCATTCTTTTTATGATGAGCAAGTTCACTTGTGTATATATATTACATTTTCCTGATCCATTTGTCCATTGAGGGACACCTGGACCAGTTACATTGCATACCTCGTCTATGGTGAATAGTGTTGCAAGGTACATGGTTATACTGATGGCTTTATTGAATCCTTCTTTTAACCTTCAAAAAGCCAACATCTCAAGTGGGTTTATAAGCTAAACGGAGACCTTTTGGACAAATAAAAATGGCCAATAGGCACATGAAGAAATAAATGCTCAACAGCTCTATCCATAAAGGAAATGCAAATCAAAACAATACTGCAATTACACACCACACCCATTAGAATGGCCATTTTCACAAACAACTGATGCTGGTGAGGATATGGCCAAAAAGGAACTCTAATACAGTGTTGGTGGGAATACCAACTTGTTGATCCACTCTGAAAAGTGGTATGAAGATTTCTCAAAGAGCTAAACATGGAACTACTCCCTAACCCAGCAATTGCAGTCCTGATCATTTATCCAAACACCTTTGAACTTTTTGTTGCATTCCATATATAGCAAGTATTTATAGATCTGAAAGAGACACTAATATAATAGAGGTTTTCAATGTCCAATGTATGAATGCAGAATAAACATAAGGGTCAAGCCTGTTCCAAATAACCAGTGTGTCTGTGGAATTAAAAGGTAAGTTGAAAAATATCGTGAGACTAAGATGAAAACAACAACAAAATGTGGGATGCAGAAAACAGTTCTAAGAGAGATGTATAGGCAAATAAGCATAAAGAAATATCCCTAATAAAGCCAAGTGTGACACAGTCCTTTAACCCCAGCACTTGAAGGCTGAGGTGGGAGAATTCGCAGTTTGAAACCTGCCAAGATCAGTCAAAAGAAAAATAAAAGGGGAGGGGAGCAGGAGAAAAATCCCCAGGAAACATAGCATTGCACCTTAAGGAATAAGGACAAACTAAGCTCAGACTTAGGAAGGGGGGGAAATGCCACAGCAGAAATTTTAAAAGCAACCATGTGGTATCTCAATACCTTTTCAAAATGTAATCATTCAAAAAGAAATACTGGAATTACATTATAAGCATCCCATTTCAAACTATGAGGGTATGAAACATGGTAGAAATATTGACTGAACTATGTAAAGTATTAATTTTTTTATTTTCCTTTTAGCTTAAAGGTGAGTTTCTTTCCCAATACAGACTAATATACTTTGTTGTTTTTATGTAAATGTGATTATAAAGCTGGTATTTCTGTACAGTTACAGCATAATGAGAATTAAATTCAATTGGCTCCTAAACTTAGATTGATTTGGGCATTCTTTTTTGCATTTAAAATAATTGTTTCATTGTGACCACATTATACACTAGGCAACAGAAACAGGCTTTTTTTTTTTTTTGTCATGAGGATTGACCTCAGCACTTACTTAGATGCTCTCCCTGAGCTTTTTCACTCAAGGCTAGTATTCTGCTACTTTAAATCACAGTGCCACTTCCTGCTTTCTGGTGATTAATTGAAGATCAGAGTCTCATGGACTTTCCTGCTTTGAACTACAATCCTCAGAACTCAGCTTCTTGAGTAGGATTACAGGCGTGAGCCACAGGCATCTGGCTTAGGATTTTCTTTCTTTTCCTTTTTTCTTTTTTTCAATTGTCAAAGTGATGTACAGAGGAGTTACACAGTTAAGTAAGGTAATAAGTACATTTCTTGTCAAACTTGTTACCTTTTCCCTCATTTTTCTCCTACTTTCCCAACCTCACCCCACCCCCCAAGTTGCACAGATTATTTCCAACATTTTGTCTTGTGTATATCACTGTTGCATTGGTTCCCCCCTTGTCCTTTGTCTCACCATTCTGCTATTCTCCTCCACTTCCCTAATTCACATAAACCCAAATGCCCCTCAGTAGATGAAAGGATCAAGAAAATGTGATATATATATATGTATATATGCACATATATACATATATATAAATGGAAAAAATCATAATATTAAGTGACGTAAGCCAGACCCAAAGAAAGTTAGATCCCATGGTTTCCCTTATTTACAATAATTAGTATACATCTAGGAAAATCTTAGCAGATGAGCAGAATAGCTCAATAGCTATGTACATATGACTATATAAGATGATGCTAAGCAAAATGAACTCCAAGACATGGACACAAGAAATTTTTCTTTGTTGTTGTTTTTCATGGAACATGTAATTTTCGTTTCTTTTGCATATTCTTCCCCTATGGTATATCCCATGTTGTCACTGTATTTGATTCGGGCATTATTTTTAATACATTTTTATTGTAAAAATACTGTACAGTGGGGTTACAGTTACATAAGCAAGGTAATGAGTACATTTCCTATCAAGCATTGTTACCTCCTCCTTTGATTTTCCCCTACCATCCCTTCCCTCCCACCTCCACAGCTACACTCCGTGCCACCCCCCACCTAAATTGTAAAGTTCATTTTTCAACATAGTGTCTTGTACATCTCATTGTTACAATGGGTCAACCAGTATCACTATTTAAGCATTTTGTTTTTTCCCTTCCCCTCCCCAAATTAGAGAAGTTTATATACAAGATGCAGAGTACCAACATCAAATACAGTGAAAACGGGGGTTATACCATGGGGGAGGAACATACAAAGAAAAACATCACATGGTACATTATAAATAGAAACAACAGCAAGAAAGAGAAAAACCACTTGTGTCACTATCTTCAGGATCATTTTGCTTAACATCATCTTATATGGTCATATGTACATAGCTTTTGACTTTTTCTCCTTGTCCCACACATAAACTAGTTATTGCAAATAAGGGAAACCATGGGACCTACGTATCTTTGGGCCTGGCTTACTTCACTTAATATAATTTTTCCAAGTCTTTCCATTTCCTAACAAATGGGGAAATGCCATTCTTTCTGATGGAGGCATAGAATTCCATTGTATAAATATACCACATTTTCTTGATCCATTCATATACTGAGG